GATCCGTGCGGTCGAACTCAATATTGACATTAAAATATATTACATATATATATATATATTTCTGAGCTGATATCTATAACAAACCCTCAACTACTTAAGTAATCAATTTCATAGATAACGAGCATCCATGCATGCTAGAGTATATTGACGATATCACTTATCGATGGAACTTCCGTAATTCTTTTCAATTTGCCTTCATACATGAAAATATAAAATGTACGATATCCGTTCTGCTTATTAAACTTAACTGGTAAGTTTATCTTTTGAATAATAGACTTGCTACATAATATATATAATGTTTATAAATCAACTATAAATTTCACTTTCAATATTACAGCCTTACAAATTGTGCTATGACATATAAGAATTATTGCTAAATGCAAACTGTTCTGATTTTGAAAAAATGTCATTGAAACCTTTAAAATAAACGTTCTTGACAAATTTTGAAAATCTCAGAACTCAATTCTATAGCAATATATCAAATTAAAAATCTAAGCTTTGTTCTCCTTAAACGATTTAATTAAATTGCAGAAATCGATACCAAATCAGTTCTGGGTTGCCGATTACAAATTCAAAGTCCGTTTTTGAAAATTCAAAATGGCAGATCCAATATGGCGGATATTTATGAATTTTTTTAAATTTATCTGATTCGCTTGAAAATCGTTATACTCGGGGGTTTTCGAGATCGCTGATTACGAATCTGATGTCAATTTTCAAAAATTCAAAGTTGTTGAACCATAAATTTTTTTTCAAAAATGTCCAACATTTTGAATTTTTAAAAACTGACATCAGATTCGTAATCATCAGCGACCTCAAAAACCAGCGACTAACGATTTTTGTTCATTTACCCCGAGATATCTCGGGTCTAACCGTAGGGGGGTTAATATCACCCGTAAATTTACAGTAACAAGGTGCTTATTAACAAGAATTGAGCAAAAAAATTCCCTGACATTTTCCCTGATCTTTTACTAAAACCTTATTTCTGCCTTTTTGGAACAAAAATATGGTTATACTGACATATTTAGAAATCTTAAAAATTTTCGTAAAAAATATGCTCATATTTAATTTATCGTCATTAATTTTTTTTTCAATTATTTTAACTCAAAAAAAGTTTTAGCTGGTGTATTTCTTGACAATAATCAATTATCCTAAAGGAAAAAGCATTTTATTGTCTTGTTTTCAAGTAAATACTGTAAAAAATTTTACAAAATTTTAATTTCGATATAGATGGTGCTACCTTAATGGGACCTAGTCTTAACGTCTACATCGATTAACGAGTTTTTCTGTAAAACTTCTGGTTTTACAAACCTAGTTATTACACATTTTAGGAACGAAATTATAATAGCGATATATATATCTATATATAGATATTCCAAAAGATATTCCAAATTCCAATGTTCCAAAAGTATGGAAACTTGCAAATATCTCGAAAAGTACGCATTTTCATAAAAAATGTCCAAAACAAAAGTTGTTCCCAAAAAAAAGATCTACATTTTTGATCCCAAAAAATTGTCCCGGGATCCAATAGTGAAAAAAGAAGTATCACGAAAATGCGTACTTTTTGAGATATTTGCAAGTTTCCATACTTTTGGAACACCCTGTATATATATATATAAAAATGGAGCTGAAGAATCGTCACTCTGGAATTCTCTTAAAAATAGTTCCAGTTCGGAGTACTTTCCAATATTTAGTAAAAAAATTTTCGTTCTTTCTATACCGTGGATGTCCCAGTTGCCGTCCACCTAAGACCTAGTTTCCGTCCAGTTTAATTTTCAAAATAACATTTATAAAAAAATTATTTTCTTTTATTTGTTTACTTAAACTAATAAGTCGATTGCGTGCCAAAAGGAATAAATTATTGTTAAAAAATAATTTAAATTACTATACGAAATATTTGTAAAATGGACGGATACTGGGACATAGACGGTAACTGGTACATCCACGGTAACTGTAGAATTTTCTACCCAACGCAACGCACGTTGCAAAATTTCAAAGGGAATTCTTCGCATCCAGATGCTGCAATATAATTTGCCCTACGCACAGGGGACTACTTAAATAAAACGTAGAGCGAATTAAGTAAGCGTTCCAAATTTCATTTTACCCCGTCAATTTATCTTCTACAAGCTCCATTGACAACATGAAGTCCGCAGGTTTCAATGTTTAAAAGAGTAAAACTTTCTCTTTCTTTGTTCAGTTCATCTTGAAGATTCTTTACTAATCTTAGGTTTATGTAGGGTCCATCCGTTGATATTTGAATAATGTTTTTTAACAAATACCCCGGTATATTATCTTTGAAACCGTCCAACAAGTCCTTAGACGTTGTGTGTCTGTTACTAATTCGGCGAAAGGAATCAAATAAATTAAGGCTTGTGTAATTCTTAAACTTATGAGTTTAATATTGTTTTTAACAATTTAACGAATTTTAATACTTATCAAGTATTCTTCGTAACCATCGCTTCAAGATAACGTACCTCAATACTTATCAATTATTCTTCATAGCCGGCGCTACAAGATAAGGTACCCTTTTTTGCTGTTGCCCTTATCTTGGTATACGACACCTTATTATTTTTAGCTGTCGCTCCAAGATAAGGTACCCTTTTTTTCTTGTGCCCTTATTTTGGTATACGACACGTGACAATAAAATGTGTATTTGGAGAGGTTTTATAAATAACTTCGCTGAGCCACCTGCCACCACCCGCTCAACGCGAATATCTATCAAACCCTCTTCGCATTCAAGAAACTTGTGTTCTCATCCCTTCCCTTATTTTTCCACTCTTGACGGTTAATCCCGTTGATTTGTACAGATTATTTCTCTATAATATAATACATCTGAATAAACTAATTGTAAGTAGCGCCTGAGAACAATAACATGTGTCTCGGACTTTATGGTACAGATACCCAAAACAATAGTAATAAACAACCTAATGCGGGCTAGTGCTCAGTGAAGAAAAATAACTGAGTAAATTAAAACTTTTAATTATTAACAATAAATTTAACGTATTAGCAATCGCAGAAGTTACATATATTGTTTTAACTTCGTTTTCAGTTTTATCCCAATTGGGATAAAGGTGGAAAAGTTCCCGGTAGTGACTACCGGTAGTAACTACCGCTAGTAACTACCTATACAGTCACTACCGGGAACTTTTCCACCTGGGAATATCTAACGACGAGATCCATTTGTTGCTTCTTATACTAATATTATTTAAACTTTCGTTAAATCCGATGACTAAAAAATCACACTCTCCTAATAGTTACTTCAGCGTCTAAAAAAATCGATTTACTTCTGATGCATGAACTTTGGTGGCATTTTCTGATGAACTGCAATGCACATTACAAGTTTTAGAACAATAATTTGAGTTTTCGTCCGTAGACCGATTATATAGTTGCCCTTTCTTGTCTCTCAGGATTGATATCTCTTGATTATAAGTTAGAAGTAGCGACGTTCTCATCATTAAAAAGTCCAAAAAGTTAAGAAACAGGTCGAGTAGATTGAAAGGCCTTAAGCAATTCAATGTTACTATGTTATACTTATATTTGATTTGTGTCTGTCTGCGTTTTGCATCTCTTGATTTGCGCATGCGATAGGAGTGATCAGGAAGGAAAATAACGCGCCCATGTTTTGGATCAGAGGATCTAAGGGAAGAAACGCAAAACTTCCAGAACGAATAATTGATTATTCTAAATCACACACCCTCTACAAGGTATTAATTTTAACATTTTTGTTTTAAATATACTTTTAGACACTAGAAACTTAAGTAAATAAAATCATGTAATCCGATTTTTGTTTACTTTATTCCTTCTATATTAAAAGAATTCATGAAGAACAGAATAAAATACTGCGTCAAAATACTTCCTCTTATACATATGAATTGTTAGAAAATTACTCACCTAAATATTTAAATCACGTTTTATTCCTTCTGTACAGTGATAAATTTACTTTTTCATTTCTAAATAACTTCTGTAGACACTGAAGTAAATAAGTTTAAACTTTATTGTAGAAATTAAATCCAAATTAGGTTAAATTTGTATTATTTTACGAGTTTTTAAAATAATTAATGCCACGAAATCTCATTAAAATTTAGTTGAAATTTACCCGGTCTAGATGATTTTCGATGGAGTGATTCTAATGCATAGATAACAACGGTATCATTGAATTATTCATACTCCGGTAACGCGTATGAAGTGACAAAGTACTAAATATGATAATTATTTAACGTCACCACAACAATAGAATGATCTTAATAATTTAAGCACATTAACAACTTGTTCGATGTAAATGAATGCACTTGACACTTAGAAAAATATTCGACGAAGCAGAAGCCATCTCTGGCGTTACTATCACTAATCACACTTTTCTGTAACAGGTGTATACTATAGCATTCAAGTCAGTTCTGTAAAATTACCTCATTCAAACTGAACTCTGTGACACTAAGTCCAGAGATTAATAAAAGTTTATTGTTTCTTTATGATATAGATTATAGTGTATCAGTATCAAGTGACAAGTATAAGCTGACATTTTCATAGAAATGTAACGTAACTGTTATATAATGTTATAAAATGCGTTATTTGGGAATTGTCAGGGTTTTGACGATTTTAAAAAAATAATTAAACACAATTATGTAAATCATGTTTTTGTGTGTATAAAAGTAAGGATGAATAAATAATTGAATTTAATGATTACGTTGGTTTTCTTAATTTATTGATTAGTACAAAATATATCTCAAAGTCATCTAAAATTTCCCTCTTTTGTTACCCAGAGGAGGTTTTTGAAGTTGAAAACTGGAATTGGAATCTGACGTAGATGATAACGGAGCTGTTAGATTAACTGGTGCGTTAAAGGTTAAACTGCTTGTTGGTGGATTCATGGTTGTTCCCATTGAAAAGTTAGATATTGTAGGTGTTGGTGTTATGTTACCCCAAACTGAAAATTTTATATATATCATATTATTAAACTTCTGAATAAAATTTACGAACAATTTATATCAAATTACATACTTATATAGTACATATATCCTTCAAAAATAAATTTACCAATATCTAAAAGTTTATAAATTCAAAAGATTCTTCCAAATATTGAGGATTCATTAGTATAAAACTGCAAAAGCATATACAAACACAAAAATAGTGTGTCCAAACATCATTACCTCTATTCCTTGTAAACCTAAGTTTCAGATTTTTTCTATTTTTTTCGTAATACCCTTAAAACCCTATATGGCTGCAAACCGTCTTATTAGAAGAATTCGCATTTGACTGGACTTTCGACTACAGGAGAGGACAATTAAAGAAAACTTCTCTCGAGCACACCCGGTTTATTGACATGACTGTTTAACTGTGAATATATACATTTGGATAGTCATCGCAAAAATACAAACTTATCCTTGATGTTAAACAGGATGTCCAACAAGAAGTACAAAATATTCCCTGACTTTTTCCTAACCTTCTTCTCACTTTTTTATAAGAAATATTTAATATTAAAAGAATGGAAAATATTAAAGTATTTTTAAGATAATAAAAAAAATTTTATTTATTAGCATTATAAACTTTGCCTTGCACCGAAAAATTTTAAAAATTCATATAAAAATATTCATTTTTGGCAAATTTTTAAAAAGTTCCCTGACTGCTGGACACCCTGTTAAATCTCCCGCTTGATATATCCCGATCGGATATGTTTCTAAAAATGTACGAAAAACCTGCCCGAAAAATACCAAGATGCGCAAGCTCAACTAGATTGTTAGGTGAGTAGAATGCAGATTTTTCATATATTTTGAAACGCTTTCTATAGTGTGATCGGTCTCTTTACAGTAAATACACAAGAAGAGGAAGGAATCTATTATTATAGCCATTAAAAATTATAGTTTTTCTTTTAATTCTTAACGTGAAATTTTTATTTACCTAGAGGGTTTATCGTACCACCACTTGATGACTGACATAAGTTTATTCCTGATGATGATAGAAAACTTTTATATCCTGTAAATAAAAAAAATATAGGCTGAGTTTGAACAATTATGTTGAAAATATATAACAATGTTTAAAATTTTTTAAATGTCAATAACATCAATTTCAGGTTGTATAATATATAAATATTTTTTTAATCAAAAATTTTAAACTGACTTATTTACACTCAAAAAGTGTAATAATTTTGATTTTAGTTAAGGTAAAAAGATGTACTTATGTTATCTGGAATACTATCAACTGGGGCTATTTGTAACGACAAAAAGATCGTTTTTTTCGAAATTACAAAATAGAGCTATTAGGAACAATGTGGAAAAAATCATTGAAAAATGTGTTCAAAGTTAAAAAAAGTAATTGTTTATTGCTCTAAAATACAAAAATAATTAAAAACAAATGGATAAACAAAAGTATATGAACGAATGTGCGTTTTAGTCGCTACTGGTATAGTCAGATGAGGTCGAAGACGAAGTCACTGGTCGTTTTGCTGCTCTCGACACTTTTTTATAATTTCGAACCATCTATGAACACAAAAAAAATAAACTATATACCAAAAAAAAATATATATATATATATATAAAATTACGAAAAACTTACATTTCGGCAACACATTTCAACAATTCTAAAGAAAGAATTGTGTTCCTAATAACCCCGCCTTTTGTCGTTCTTGTCTCACAAATCTCACTGTTAATACGAAATAAACACATTCATTACTTAGTAAACTCGATAAAACTTGCCATGAGGAATCCCTTTAATTAAAAACAATCACTTTGAGAAGTTAAAACAGCACAACTTACCTCGGCAATAAAATGTTTTCCACTTTTGAAACTTTATAAAAACACATTAAGTCACATACAATTATCGCACTCAACAGTATTACCGGTAACCGCAGCAACAATTTTTCTGAAGTAAGTAATACAATCTATCCAAACACGGGACCAATAAATGACTATATACCGCAGTGAGAAGAGAAACATTGTCATGCGAAAGTAAGAAACTTTTCTCATCGATGAGTGAGTGAAATTAAGGTTGCCAACCTAGAAGACGTGTTGGTAAGGTATTGAATTTTTCCTTATGAAACTATTCAATACCTACTTTACCAACACGTCTTCTAGGTTGGCAACCTTGATTTCACTCAGTCATCGATGAGAAAAGTTTCTTACTTTCGCATGACAATGTTTCTCTTCTCACTGCGGTGTATAGTCACTCAATATCCTTTTTAAGCCTTTATAAATAAGAGTCGTTAATGATATTGATCTTAGACCGCTTCCAGAATTTATGGAACTCATGGTTCATAAAATATTACGTTATGTGTTTCGATCTGTGACGATATGATTTACGAGGGGAGAGTTTATAAAGTACGACGTAGTTTATGAACGGCCTTTAAGGGGAGGTTCCCATTGCGGAAGTCCAAAAAAATCGGTTTTTTTTATTGCATTTTTGAAAAGCTATATATGTGTGGAATATGTGTGGATTTTTTGATCTGAAGAATATTTTTGTTTCTACAGCGCCTTGAACTCACCGTCGTCCCGAGCGATGAGTACCGCTGAGATCTTAAGTCGTCCGCTATATTGAGTCCGCCATTTTGAATTTTGAAAATCTGACATCGTATTCGTAATCAGCGACCTCAAAAAACCCCGAGTAACGAATTTCAGGTAAATTGAATCGATTTTTTTAAAAGTAAACAAATACACTGGAAACTCCCAAGAGCGGTCTTCCCGAGAGCGGGATCAGAAACAGAAAATAGAAAGCAGGAGTGTATGCTTTGAGTGTACCGTTACTCTGCAAGCAGTTTTATTGGCTTATTAATTACTAAATTTTGAAAAAATATATTAGTTATAAAATAAGAACTTACAATACTGTATTATAAAAACAAAATTTATTAATATTTATAATAATATGTAGAATGTATTCTGCTAAAAGCACTAGTAATTCATTGTACGGCCCTGAGTGTTTATAGTATTCTACGTTAAGGACATTTTTCCGTAGAGCGGACTAACACTACTGCCGTACGCTCTTGGGAGTTTCCAGTGTATTACACATAAAAATGTTTCCAAAACTTTTAACGTGTTTTTCTCGAATTAAGATTTTTCAAACTGGTGAGCATCGTAGCGTCTAAACTATTTAACCAATCAACTTCGGGTTTGCGGCTAATTAAAGGTAACTAAATTCTGCTGGGGTTATACCTATAATATGATACAATTGTCAACAATGAAGATTTTTTACAACAGGTCAAACATGAAAAAATAAGGCAAAAAATTCAGTGTTTTTTAAAAAAGTGGCCGCCATTTTGTCATTTGTTTAACTTTTTACTATTTTATAAGTATAACCTATTCTTTAAGATGTCACCTTTCTAAATAATTTTGAGTTTTTGTTTTAGACTCAAAATTGCGCAGTGTAGAATGCCCACCGTTTTCCCTATGTAAAAAAACATTGTTTACTAAGTGAAATTTTGAAATTTTTTGAAAATGAAATATATTTTTAAAAAGTTTAAGGACGTACCTTTATTTTAAAAAAAACTACATCGCTAAGTCATAACCATATTCCCCGCAAAAAATTGTCACTTTGTGTTGATTTTGGCCTCCGCAATGGGAACCTCCCTTTAAGCAAAATAATATACATAATTAAATTTACCTGGAGCAAAAGGCGTTGGTCCACTTGTCATTTTCACAATATTATTTTTATTTACTTTACTGACTAGTTTAATATCTTCAAATACGTTTGAAGAATCCTTTAGTACGTATTTTCTGAAATTTAAATACTGTTCTTTCTGTTGCTGAACTTTTGTATGCACGCCTTGTAATCTTCCAGCTACAGCAACTAACGACTCATGTAATTTACCCATCGCCATAGTAAGTTCTGTAACAAAAAATGTTTTACTATTTTACTTAAATTTTCATTTATTCTAAAAAGGCAAGGTTTTTAATAATAAAGCGATTTTCAAGATACTTGTCATAAAATAATAAAAAATATATGAAATATTCATATACAAATAATTGATTAATTTTCTCACCTTGTGGAGTTAATGTTTTAGGCGTCATCATTGTTCTTATATGTTTTTCTGTTATTTCAATTTGAGATTTAAAAAGAAGTAAATCGTGTTCAAAATTTTCTGCTAATTCAATAAAAAATAAATATGGAGCATTATTTTCATATTGCAATCCAGGAGGTGTATCATGTGTTCGCTGTGCAATTTCTGCATTTTGCAATGCTTTTGCGGTATCTTGTTTTAATTTGTCTGCTGAAGAACGATCCCTTTGAACAGAACCAGCTAATGTTGTAAGTAAGTCTACAAGTGATACTGTATCTTCGGCACATCGATTTAATGGTCTTGATGAACCTCGCGCAATATCAGAGCTCAATACTTTCTGTGTTTTCACAAATTCCCTACCAAAAAAAAATCAATTTGAATACTTTTTTTCACTTTTTACAAAATACTTAAAATCAGATACATATGTATAAAAATTAAATATAAATATTTTCAAAATATTAAACTTACTTGAAGCCATCGATAGTTTGCATTAATTCCTTTGGTAAGAGATTTTCTTTAACTGCTGTTGGACTACTACTTCCTAGCGAAAGTCCTTTATTATTAACCGAAACATCTAAACCACCTAAACCTTTATTTGTACTAGTCACTGCAGTAGTTGTTACAGGAGTTGTTTTTGCAGTGTTAAAATTAGTTCCAAAATTTGAACCAAATAATGTACCTAAAAAAATAATTATATTATTTTTAGTGATGCGTCTCAAGAATCTTTCCTTTCATAAAAGAAAAGAGACAAAAACAGTATATTCATTTGTCTTCAATGTGTTTTTCTTAAGAAAAGATTATATAACATATTTAGAAGTTCTAAAAATATTTCTGACAGGTAAAGTTTTATTGATTGATGTGAATTATTTAGAAATTCATTGTAAATACCAGTAATTACATACGAGAGAATCATTTTGAATAATTTTATTATTACCGTGCACTTAAAGTCATATTATGCGTTGCATACATAATTGTAATAAATAAATATATATATATATACACGTGATTTAAGAGAATTTTATTAACATTATGGACTTTTAAAAGTATACCCAGTATCCGACGAGGAATTGCAAGGTATTAAAAAATGTTAAATCTACAATTAGGTATGTTTTAAGTAAAATAATTACTTAATCTTACTACTTAATCCATTAACGACTAAATGTCCAAAATTTTAGTCTGGGATTTAACATAAGATATTTGTCAAACCCTAATTTGTTAGACATTTGAATAGCTTCACAAATTTTTACTCTGCTATTAGTGGACAAAATAGTTGTCTAAACTTAAAAATTTTAAATGGCTGACGCCAATATGGCGCCTAAATCTCGGAAATGATTTATAAGACAAATATGATGCTTAAATGTTTAGAACTTACTGAAATTGCTTAAAACTTGTTACTCATAGTTTTTTGAAAAACTAACATCGGATTCGTAATCAGCGACCTTAAAAGTCCTCGAGTTACAAATTTTAAGCATTTTTAAACATTTGAGCATATTGGTCTTGTGGAGTAATCTTTCTACCTTTATGTTATATAAAAAAGGAAATCCTAATGACTCAAGATCTCTTACTTTGGTTAATCCACTGACTAAGATTTTTACACAAATTATTATGTGTGACCGCCTTGTTTCTTGGGCTGAGTTCTTACACCTGATTCCGGAGTCTCAAGCCAGTTTCAGAAAAAATAGAAGTTGCCTAGACATTTTATTTAATCTTTTATCTATTATCCAGATTCACTTGAGTATTCTGAAATCAGTAGTCTATGCGATTTTTGTTGATTTTAAAGGGGTCTTTCCTTCCGTTTCTCACAAACTTCTTTGGTATAAATTGTACTCGCTGGGGTTCAGTTCAAAAATTATAAATATATTGTTCAATTTTTATTATTCTGCATTTACTTGTATTAAAACTAGCGAAGGTTATACAAATAAGGTTACGCTGACGATTTTGTGATTCTTGCGGATAGACCCTCTGAGTTAAATAGAAAGCTTTGTACTCTTTGCTCCTATTGTGAATTGAATGAACTTACTGTTAATACACGTAGAGTAAAATCTAGCTTTAATAGCATGAAAATGATTCCTAACATTAAAGCATGAATTTTTCCTACAAAGAAAGCAAGAATTCATACGTTCTTAGTATATGTTTGAGAAACACGCCTTCGTAGTATGCATTTAAAACTTTAAATGCATAAGCGCCACGCGTAAATTGTATGAAACCAAAACCTATTACTATTGCAGGAGTCTCATACTTTTTCGGTATTAAAGTCCTGCAACTGGCGATCACCAAGTTTGTGTCAAGTTAAAATGGGCGTGGCTTTATCGCCAGTTGCAGGACTCTAATACCGAAAAAGCATGAGACTCCTGCAATAATAGTAGTAGGTTTCAGTGACATACGATTTGCGCGTGGCGCTTATGCATTTAAAGTATTAAATACATACTACGAAAGCATATTTCTCAAACCTTTTAAGCATGGACAACAAATCATACTAATAACGTATAAATTCTGACAAATATTACTGGAATTTCTCTACTATAATATGGAAAAGATTCATGCGTTAAACGTATACCTTATCACTTTATTTTTCTCTCCGTGTACTGTTAAGACTAAAATTGTTGTCTTGACTAAGTCAGGAAATTCTACGGCAAGGAAATTTAAATCATTTAAGTTTGGAAGTGATTGCATAGAGGTAGTTAAGGAATATACCTATCTAGGTATTTCATTCCACAACTCATGTTTCTTTGCATCTGCTATGAACAAGGCAACTAGTGCAGCAAATACCGCAGTGAGGTCAACTTTACAATTAATACACTCTTTCCGAGCAGATTCGTGGGAGTCATATTCCGAACTGTTTAAGAGCTTTATTTTATAGTTTTTCAGATCTGGAGTTATAATTTTTTGGAGTGCTTAGAGGCGGTTCAACTATCTTTTTTTAAAAGACTACTGAATCTTCCTTTGTGTACTCCTGGCTATGCTGTCGGATTGGAAACAGGCTCTTTGCACCTTTTTTCATTATTTTTAAGTTTGCTTTGACTTGGATAAATAAAATTTTTGAAATGGACATTTCTCGGTTACTTAGACAATGCTTAGTTAAGTTATTGAAATTGGCAAAGAAAAATTCCACTAACAAGTTTAATTAGTTTGTGCAATTGAAATTACATTTTTTTGAACCTAGTGGCTTTTTTGATATATGGATGGACATGTCTCGTGAATCTTTCTGCTTGGACAGTGAGTTTGCTCTCGGAAAATAGTCTTTTTACCTCTAAGAGTTTTATATTATATTCTTATCTTACTCTACAACCCGGAACACAACATTATTTACTTATGTCACTACACCTATCTTTTAAAACATTCTTTTCGCAAATTAGACTTTTGAATAACCATGTTTCTCGAATTATTTTTAATTGTAAAAAATTTTAGTTTGGAACTTTTGTCTCCATACCAAATTTTCTTTTCATCCGGATTCATTATGTCCTGCTTGGAACTTGGTAGATGAGGATTTGTATCACATTTTAACAACATTAATTTACATGATTCAAATGAAAGCCGTAAATATAAAAAAAATATATATATTATTTTGTAAATGTTAATTTCACAATAAATTAAAAATAGTAATTATTTTTGTCCTACTTGTATTTCCAGTTGATGTTCCAAATGATAAAGCAGTTGTAGTTGTGGGTACTCCAAAAGATGTTAATCCTGTTGTAGGAGTTGTTCCAAATGTTGAAGTCACTGTATTGGCAGGTGCTCCAAATGTCATGTTACTTGCTACCGTGGACGTTCCAAATGTTATTCCAGAAGGTTGTGCACTTGTTGTAGGATTTTGCAGTAAATTTAATGTAGTGGTACCAGTTACTGTATTTGAATTTGATGTCTGTGTAAGAGTTGGTTGGCTACTACCAAAGGCAAAATTTAAACCAGTTGTTGTTGGATTTTCAGCCCAATTCTGACCAGTACCAAATCCAGTAGTTGAAGGAGTTGTGGAACCAAAAGGTACAGCAAGAGGAGTTGATGTAGTCCTTAAAAACACAACAAAAATATGTTCTAGTTAAATTATTGTTCATCTTAGTTAATGATTTCTTTCGGTTTCTTTGAATAAAAATACTTTGAATTTTGGAAATTTTTTTATAAAATTCCATAATTTTCCATTTTTGACAGACTTGTAACGACGATCAATCAAATTTTTGTTTTAATTCCCAAGTTAGACCTTCTTTTCTATCAATCAAAATTTAGCGTTGGAGAATAAGTTAATTTTTAAACTTTATTCAATTTAAAAAATATTTTTTTAATGACGAATTTTGAAGGATAAAATACAAAAAATTTTCTAAAACTGAAGTTCGCTGTCTGATTAATATTGATTTCAAGATTTTAATTTCAAATTCGTTATTAAAACTATATATTTCACAAGTGAGATTAAAAATCAATTTTTACCCAATATTTTAGACTTTTTTTAATACAATAAACAATTAATATTAGTAAATTAAACTATTTTGAATAATTAAAAATAATACATTTACATTATTTAAATTGTTTCTGCATTATAGTAGATTTTTTCACTTGATAAAATAAACTTTTTTTCCTGAAACTCAACTTTGAAATTAAAATTACAAGATAAATATTGAATTAATATTTTATAACTTTAATTCTAGGAGATTTTTATTACATTTACATCGAATGTCATAAAAAATAAACTTGAAAATTTAATTTTTTTAATGAAAATAAATTTAATTTTAAAAATTAAGTATACCCTGGTAAGAAGACTTATATTAAAAAGTATTGAAAAATTTCACCATTCTATTGTTATATACTACAAAGTAAATACTTTTGAATTCCGTTTTTGTCCACACATTTGAATTCCCGAGATAAAAGACATTTCTCATAAAATTGAATAATTCTATTCTGTTCCTATCAGTGACTAAAATTTTAGCTGGGTTTTGTGAAAACTTTTGAATACCGAAAACTAATATTAAAGTAATAATACTTTAATTTCTTTTAATGCAATCTACTTTATTATTTTTTATTTATTATTTAAAGCATAATTTCACACTTTAGATTTTTGGAAAACATTAAAATGATAATTTTATGTTGCCTAAATTATTTTTCTATTAAAAATATTGTTGTTGAGTTACTTTTACAAAAATTTTTCTTAATTTTTTTATTTTTGAACTTTACAGTCTTTAACTAAAACAAGTAATTTGCAATAACGAGATTCATTTTAAAACACGGATTTTTCATTTATATACTTTTTTTTTTTAGTAATCTACAGCAGTTATGATAAAAATTTTACTTTAAATATTAACTGTGGTTATGTTCCAGTTTCTAGAGTCATAGAAAGAAATTCAACTTTAATTTTTTCGATACCTCTCTGGGAAATGAAATACAATGGACAAAAAAGGAATTCATAGGAATTGAAAAAATTTCAATACTTTTTAATGCAAGCCTTCTTACCGAGACCACATTAAAGATCATCAAATTTACTACAAAAAAACAACCGTATTTTTTCCCATTTGATGCATTTTTGTGGAAATAACATTTTAAAAATGTTATTTTTTACATTAAAAATTTCGGGTGATACGTTTCACGTAGAATGCCCCGAATATTCAAAATTTCAAAAATGAAATTGATTTGAAATTGAAAGAGTTATGAATTTTTTGTTATATTTTCAGTGACTTTAATCCTTTTTATTAAAATGAATTGATTCCAAACTTTTTTGTTATTAAACAAAATTAAATTGATTTCAATTCTTTCTACTCTATCGGAAATAAAATGTCTGCAATTTTCAACAAGAATTAAAAAGAATAAAAATATAATACATATGAATTATCTCCAAAGGAATTAAATTTATGAAAAATTCAACAATGATATTATTTTAGATTCAAATGATTGAAAACTCAACGATATTTATAAAAATTTGAATTTGTTTTTCAATTAATTTATTCTTACCAAAATTGTTTAAAAGTTTTACAAACTAAAATTATATTCCATTTCTGAAAAACTGTTTAAAAAACGAAAATTCGCTTTAAGAAATAATTTATCAATTGTTTTAAAATTCTGTTCAGCAAATTTTTTAAGTCGTAGCAAATAAATTTCTGACAACCGTTTTGTATTTTTTCTTTCTCTTTGCAGAATTTGTAGTTAAAATACGAGTCATTTTTAAAACCAATTATCTTTATGTGAGGAAGCAAAGTATTTATGAAATGATCAGAAGAATTTATAAGTCGCAGACTCTAATATTGAAAATAATTGTTTAAAATTCATTTTACACTGGATATCATTCATAAAAGTTAGGTTATATTATGTTTACAAACTTTTGTTGCCCACTAATTCCAATAGAAGTATTAGATGGCTGAGTAGGAATAGCCGGTGATCCAAACGAAAACTTCGACATTTTTATTTTCAATTAGTGCATTCACGTGAATATATTTATCACACAGAAGAGTTTCAAAATCTTTCAATATTTATGTCAGGTAACCACGATTTTGCGCTGAATATTTATTTACTATGAATATGGCTAGGATGGTAAAGTAGAACATCCATAATGTGAAATATCTGTCGGGTTGAAAAAAGAGATGGGCATTCTCACTTTCGTTTGATCAAAAAATTTTAAACAAAATACACGAATTTGATTGTTTTTTCATATTCAAACTAAATCTTGACTCAAAAATATTCCTAATGTTAAACCACAATCATATTTCTGTATTTTATTTTAAAATTTTTACCAAACCAAAGTTCCATTAGACGATTAGACTCCTTATAAAGGTGATCTCACAATGGACTAATATTATACGTTCCCATCCTTGGTTTTAAATAGAGTTGCCAAACCTGTTCAAAAAAAAACCGTCACTTACTTCACGATGTTATTTTGTTTATAGAAATTTTTATAGGCATTTGACAGTAAAAAATAATCAAAATGTTACTTATTTTGAAAGCAGAACACAAACGACATTTATTATTTTTGACTCAGCAAAACGTAAAAGGTAAAATAATATAAATTTTCAATGCATTTTGATATAACTACATTTTTTTTGTGTAATATATAACCCTGAAGTTGCCTTCAAAAAGAAATGACAATCTTATGAAAATTAATAAGCTGATGATTGTTTACATAAAAATTTAAATTTTCTTTAATTTTTTTAAGAAAAATCCTATAAAAATAGTAAACTTAATAATGATTTATAACGTTAAGATTTTGTTGACAATATTTTTAAGAAAAACCCAATTATTAATTATTTTTCTATTAATGCTAGTAATCTAAAATTTTTAATTCCTTTAATTATCTGTTATAGAAATGATTATTATTTTTGAACTTTTTTTTTATCTAACTTTCATGACTCGCAAATTTAAAAAAAGAACACGAATATGAATTCTTGTAAATAATTTACATTTTACAGAATAAACATCTTTGAAATGAGTTTAAAAAATGTTACGAGCTTTAATTATTTTCGAAAATATAAAAAAAACTAGGAAAAAAGCATTAAAATTTTTTTAAAATATATCGAAATATATTAGTTTATAATAAAATCATCTAGTTTAAAATGTATCCGAAGAATTATTATTGAATTTTATGTTAAATATATTTAACTATTATTTAAATTTCAGTATTACAGGACTTTTGTAAATTAGCTTTGGATTATTTACAAAATGGATTAAACTTAAAATATTACAATTCCGCTGCTCGTAAGTTCCAATTTATACGATAAAATAAATAATATCGCAAATTTTTGGATCCATTTATTTGAGTTTAACCACACTTTTTTAAAAACTTTTGTATTTTAAGATTTTTTTTTTACTTTAGAAATTTTGTATTTTGGAAAAAATATATTTTGCAATTTTTAAGCTTTGGATATTTTTCTTGGCAATTTTTTTTTAGGCATTTTTGTACCCCAATCGATTCTAGTCACTGCCACAAATGTGCAATTTATTAAAAATAAATTTTTTGACAAAATATTAATATACTCTGGCACATCACAACGAATTCTTATATTATTTTTAAGTTATCCAAATAATGTTATCTTAATCTATCAAGTATTTTGCGAAAAAATTTGCAGAGAATATTAACATATGAAATCATAACAATCACATGACTTTAATATGTGTACTATAATTTGTTTTTTAGAAAAATTATCTGTTGATCCAGAGATTATTAAAAATTCAGTACATGGACTTGTTCATTTTCTTCTTGAAAGTTGTAGATACAAGGTAATAAAAATTTTTTTAAATTAATTAATATTAGACAATGTAACAATTCACAGAAAATACTTCGGTTCAATTTAATGTGCAACAACAATTATTGGCAGCTATAAATAAATAATTAAAGTTTTGTTAATTCAATCATGCTTATGAGGCATTTTACGTGTAATGTCCTAAGTTAAGAAATTGATTTCTCGAAAGAAAGTGAAACTTGGGGGAATTGTTGTCCTACCTGATAGTAAAATATCCCAAAAAAAATTTTTGTAATTTTGGGAAAGATAGAGGGGGGTCAATTTTATCAGTTTTCCCTGACACCGCCTACTATATGAATTTTTGCAGTCTATAAATGCAATAAAAAAAATTTTGTCAGGTATGTTTTTTGAAGGTTTTTTCATGCTCTTTCCAATGGTAAATTTTGTTTCTTAAAATTTTTGAATTTTGACCTTCATTTTCTATAATTAAACGTAAATTTACTATTTTCACTAAAATAGGTCTGTTCTTTTTTAAATAATTAATTGCAAACGAAAGCTGAGGTTTTTTCCGATCTGTATATAAATTTTCAGAATGCCGATTTTTTTTGTTTTCGAGATATTAAATATCAAAGATTTTATGTCGGCTCGCGTGGCAATAAATCTTTGATATTTAATATCTCGAAAACAAAAAAAATCGGCATTCTGAAAATTTATATGCAGATAAAAAAAAACCTCAGCTTTCGTTTGCAATTATTTATTTAAAAAAAAAACAGACCGATTTTAGTGAAAATAGCAAATTTATGTTTCATTATAGAAAGTCAAGGTTAAAATTCGAAAATTTTAAAAAACAAAATTTACCATTGGAAAGAGCAGGAAAAAACCTTCAAAAAACATACCTGACAAAATTTTTTTATTGCATTTATAGACAGCAAAAATTCAAATAGTAGGCGGTGTCATGGAAAACTGATAAAATTGACCCCCCTTTATCTCCCCTAAAATTTCGAAAAAGTCAAAAATTTTTTTGGGGATATTTTACTATCAGGTAAGACAACAATTCCCCCAAGTTTCACTTTTTTTCGAGAAATGAATTTCTTAACTTAAGACATTACACATAAAATGCCTCTTATATATATGTTTAGCTAAACGTGAACGACTTCCAAGACTCAGTTATTGCCGTGGGCTTTACAGAAGAGCAAGAAGCATTATTAAGTAAGTTATATGCACTTAAGAAGGCCGATATAGCAAAAGCTCTGGCTGTTATCAATTTTAAATCTCCTCAGTATCAAGACATGGAGTGGAGATTTGAAGCACAGGTATTTAACTTTAAAGGCTTTTGTAGCTAACTCTTATATCATCAGCGATCAGTATTTTGATTGGTTTTCAATCTTTCATATATGATTATTAACATCTAGAACACAAGAAAATGTTCTGACTTTCTTGATTTTTAACAATTAAAATTCATATTTCGTTTAAGTTACAAACAACTTGATAAATAATTATGTAAAACTTCTTCTTATACTTATTAACGTGAGACAAAATAAGCGCCACATATCTAGTCGATATATATTCTTAAATTAAAAAAAAAACATTTTCTTACAGATTGCTTCACGATCGTCATTAAATCAGGCCTTGCCATTAGTAACTTGTGATTTATTTCTTAAAAGTTCTGAAAGTTCCAAAGAAATTGAACACGTATTTATTCAATTAGATCCTTTAAATTTAGTTCACTTGGTGCACGAATTAGAAGATGCTATGCAAGAAGGACACAGTCAACATATTAAGTCTATCACTCGAAGTATAAAATAAGTCTAATTTAAAAATATTAAATTTCTAATATAAAAAGAAAATTTTAACTTTAATTTATATAAAAAGGAAAAAATTTTTTACCTTTTATAAACTTTTAAATAGATTTTTATAATAAATAAAATTTTTAAAAATCATTTTGAACCCAACCAAAAATGAATTGTACGGATATTAAGTCATTATTACGAAATATCAGATTTTTATAAAAATAGGCCACAACGACTATAGATGAAATAAAATGGAATGACCCTATGATTTTTGCGCTTTCTGTAAAAACATAAAATTTGACGCTTGACACCTTTTTTTGTCATGCTACCTTTTAATTAATAATCTGAGATTGTAAAGGTGTAAGTTTTAAATTGTTAAAATTTTGTAACATGCTTGAAAACTTTTGCTTTATTATATATAATGAATCAAATTTAACAATTATGAATAAAGTACATTTTTTAAAATTAAAATTAATCATAACAGAGGTAACTTTTTTATAATCAATCTATACCAAAGGAATGCCGTAGCTATTGACAAACCATACCAAGTTATTGCGTAAGATAAATGTTCATTTCTTAAAGATACTATCGTTTGGTTACTAATAATTTCATTTCCTGATGTTTTACTCTCAGATCTTGAATCCAGCATAACAGGAGCTGTATCTAAGAAATCAGCAACTTCTTCTATATTTCTAAAATAAAATTATAACAATTATTACACAGATGATAATCAATAACGTAGTAACAGACATATGCTAATAAAGATGAATTTAAAATGATATAATGAACTTTAATGAATTTTAAAGAACTTCATAAAAATTGACTGCCATATTAGTTACACATTTACCTATAGTACAACATATTGTCATTTAGTTTATTTTCCGGTACAAATGTCGGTCTTTTTTCAGACAATCGTAAAATACCCGTGATTTCTTGAACATCTTCAATTTGACTTGATTGTCTATTTGAAGAATTTTTATATTTCTCTGGTACCCATCCACGGTTTATCAAAATAGTTAAACTGAAATGTTTTAAGTTAATTTATTAAATTAATAAAAAAAAAAAAAACTGGAATATTATAAATGACTAAATCTTTTCATCACTTCGAAATTGAATACAAATTACAGGCATTGCATACAAAAATTTCTTAGAAATAATTTTAAAATCGAAAAGAAATACAGATTGGTATGAAATTCTACTGGATGTCATTCTAAAAGATATAATTTTTGTTGTAATTTAGTCGAGACTGGTAAGAAGTTGTGAATATACTATTTATTTAAAATTAAATTATTTTTCTCATCAGAAACGATTTATCTATCTTACATAAAACTTACTCTCTATTTTCTAATTTGAAAGGAGTTATTACGTGGTATCCTCTGAGAGCAGAATTTGGCATTACAGATTTCTGTCTCTGACTTAGATTCATGTTGTCAGTATTAAGACTTCTAGGTCCAATTATCAATTCTTTATTGTGAAGGTATGTTCCTTTTACTTTAATTGGAACGTATTCCATATTTTTTAAATCACTTAAACTGAAAATAATATTTACAAATTTATATTTGCTTTAAAATACTTTTGTGAATTTTGTACAATATGAAAATTTGAAAGATTTATACTTATTAGGTAAATTTATAGGTTCTAAATTAAATTTGTTGTGTATTTCGTCCAATAAGTTTAATTTCCATTTACGCCTTTTAATTTGCCATGTACCAAGGCAAAAAGTAAAAACAGGTATAATCTAAAAAAAAATTCAATTATATGGTCAAAATATCTTATAAGCGAATCAGTTAAAATTTTCAAAATGTCAATTATTTTCAATATAAAATCATTTTTAACTGCAGTATAAAATCATTGATTAAAACCAACTTTAAAATATTAGCTAATAGGTCTAAAAAAAAAACTCAACAAAATGTGAGTGTAGTTCTGATATCAAAAAATGTAAGTAAATAGAGTCAGTTGGGGTAAATGGGGACAAAATACCTATTTTTCACAAATTACGTAAGTTTCTCTAAAAGGTAATATTTGCAGGTTTATTTTTTTTTTAATTGGTATTTACATTTCCAGGATTAATTTTATGCAGCAGGAAAAAATTTAAATAAGCTTTAAAAGCATGAAACTGACTGTTCCCATTTACCCTAAGATTTAGAAAATTTCCTAAAATTTGGGGTAAATGGGGACAGCATAGTTTCTAAGAAAGGTTTAAGAAAAAAGTTTCCTTAAGTATATTCTGTATTAACCCCTTGGCTGTCGACAAGATTTCCACTTTTTGGGCCAAAAGTGTGTTGAAAAAAATTTTAACAGGTTTTCATGAAACTTGGTATACTAAGGTTTTTAGGGTTGTTGATTACGAATCTAACATTAGTTTTTTCAAAATTCAAAATGGCGGATTCAAATTCTTAAAAATGTTCGAATTCGATTATTGCCATATTGGATCCGCCGAGTAACCAGTTACAGGAATATTTAAGATTTTTTAAATCACTTTTTATAAGTTGCGCTATTCGTCAAGTGCACTCTTGTACAATAAATTTTAGTTTTGCGCATATATGCGTCAGCGACAGGCAACGGATTAAGAGATGAAAAAACTTGAAAAAAATTTGTAATATGGCGGATAAACTTAAAAATTTTCTTATAAATTGAATAAATTTGTTTGTCTATTATTTATTTTTTTTGTATTTCAGTATTTTGTCTCGCATTTGAAAAAAACGGACTTAAAAATCATACAAAAATTTTTTCTTATTCCTTATCAGGGTTTCCAGCAAGAAATACAAAAAAAATTTCCTGACTTTTTCCTAACCTTTTTCCAACTTTTCTTTAATAAATAATGAATATTAAACAAATGAAAAATATGAAATATTAAAGTATTTTTAAGAGAATAAAAAACATTTTATTTATTAGCATTATAAACTTTTTCTTGTACCGAAAAATTTTAAAAATTCATAAAAATGTTCATTTTTTACGAAGCTGAAGTAGGGCAACGTTTATGATAAATGATTTTTAAAGAAAAAATTTTTTAAAATGAAAAATTCTATAATTTTTTGCCTAAAAAAATATTTTTTGTAGTTTTCATTAATCAACAAATTATAAAAAAATATTTTTTAGGCAAAAAATTATAGAATTTTTTATTTTAAAAAATTATTTCTTTAAAAATCGTTTATCATAAACGTTGCGTACTTCAGCTTTGTCATTTTTGGTAAATTTTTAAAAAGTTCCCTTGACTTTTAATTAAATTCCCTGACCGCTGGACACCCTGCTTATGATTTCCATAACAGAAATTCACTTGAATTTTCGATTTTCGTCAATTTGGTTAATAATAAAAAGCAGTCCCCATTTACCTCGAGTTTTCAAATTCTTGGGGTAAATGAGCTGATAATTGTCAAGATAAAAGCTTGGCAATACTCGGAACCTCTTATAGGTGATCTGAGGTTAAAATATTGACGTTAAACTTAATTTTAAAACTGTAAATTAAGCTCCAACACCTCTTGTCCCCATTTACCCCAACTGACCCTACATATATGTGAAAAATGAAATTTAAAAATTTTTAGTATTACAATGCTTTCTTCATGAGGAAGCAATAAAAATTTGTGAAAATAAAAATTATTTTTGAATACTACATTCCAAAACAAAAAGATCCTATATTTGTTTTTAAATTGGCCAATTGTTTCTCAAGAAATTTTTTTTATTTAGTCATGTGACCTGTTATTTTACATATAAATATTCTCCGTATAGGTTTTCTCGCAAAATACTTGATAGATTGAATTAAAATTTTGTAGAGAACTCAAAAATAGTATAAGGATTCGTTGTTATGTTTCAAAATTTATTAATATTTTTAAAAAAAATTTATTTTTAAACAATTTTAATTTTTTGTGCTAAATATACACTATCATCGGAAATTGTCGGTACGGCTAACGTGCGAGGAGTAGAAATTTGGTGCTGACTTTAAAGCAAGATATTTTAAGTTAGAAAAAAGAAAGAGACTTCTAACTTAGATGGTTGGAAAGCTGATAAAATTCTGCATCTCAATGCATATCAAGAAATTTTTTTCTTGTTTTTGGTATTTATTACACCGAAAAGATTTCAAGAAAAAAATATGCAATTTTCTACTTTCGTACTAATGTTTTTTGACTCCTGGCATAATCTAGAATAATGTATGGAAAAATTTGACAATTTTACAACATAATCTTTAGGGTCTTAGCATTAATTTGCATTTTTGAAACTTAAAAAATGTTTTGTGGTTCCTGAAATATGTTAAAAAAGGTCCGAGCATGTTTTCCTACAACTCAGCCGTCAATCATTTTTTAACATATTTCAGGAAATACAAAACATTTTTTACTTTTTCAAAAAGCAAGTTAAAGCTAAAAACTTAAAGATTGGGTTAAAAAGGTGCTGTGTGGACAAAAACGTAATTCAAAAGTGTGGTGGAATTTTTCAATACTTTTTAATGTAAGTCTTCTTACCAGGTTTTTTTTAACCTATTTTTTTTTAACATATTTCAGGAACCATAAAACATTTTTTAAGTTTCAAAAATGCAAATTAAAGCTGAGATCTTAAAGATTATGTTGTAAAATTGTCAAATTTTTCCATACATTATTCTAGATTATGCCAGGAGTCAAAAAACATTAGTACGAAAGTAGAAAATTGCATAATTTTTCCTTGAAATCTTTTCGGTGTAATAAATACCAAAAAAAAAAGAAAAAAAATTTCTTGATATACATTGAGAAGCAGAATTTTATCAGCTTTCTAACCATCTAAGTTAGAAGTCTCTTTCTTTTTTCTAACTTAAAATATCTTGCTTTAAAGTCAGCACCAAATTTCTACTCATCGCACGTTAGCCATACCGATAATTTCCGACGGTAGTGTACATATATAAATGTATAATGTATGTATTTATTTAGGACTTTACTTTTAAATGCAATTAAAAATATTAAATTATTGATATGTAACACCAAATTTTTAGGGTTCCGTACCCGAAGAGGGAACCTGGTAAGAAGACTTAGATTAAAAAGTATTGAAAAATTCCACCACTCCATTGTTATTTACTACATAGTAAATACTTTTGAATTACGTTTTTGTCCACACATTTGAATTCCCGAGATCAAAGACATTTCTCATAAAATTGAATTCTTTTCTGTTCCTATCAGTGACTAAAATTTTAACTGGGTTTTGTGAAAACTTTCGAATACCGAAAACTATTATCATAGTAATAATACTTTAATTCCTTTTAATGTATTCCACTTTATTATTTTTTTATTTATTTTTATTTTATTATTATTATTATTATTATTATTATATTACATCAACTATCGATTTTCAGAGAGCATAACTCTACTTTTTTTTTATTTTAAAAAATATAAACAATCTTACCAGTAAAGTATAACCTAAAAAATTATTTTTAATTTCCTCAGAAATTTTTGATTTTGGAAGTTCTTTTTTGGAATTAAAAGACATAGGTTTCCATAAAATTTTAGGATAAGCAATTACTTTAAATTTTTTACTACCTAATGAACTTAGAGATTTAAGAAAATTCATTATTTACACTATATTGTTTATTTTGTTTTATAAACACTTAAATACCATTTAAATATATAATAAAATAAGTATAATGTCTGAAATGTGATATCTGTTAAGGTCAGCGCACAATAAACTTCGTAAAAACCGTTAGGAGGCAAGAGTTAGAAAAGGACACAAATATATAATGTTCTTTTCTAACTCATGCCTCATGTTTGAGAGAGCGGAATTCTTTTTTTCGCAATGCAATTCTTCGTTGATGGTGTTATTGAGAAACTTGCACTGAACTTTATTTGTATATCTGGAATACTGTTCTGACATTGATGGTCGCGAACCGAGAGAGAGGTCTGATTCTTGTATCCCTCTCCTTCTCTGGTTAAACTGTGCAGGCGTAGTACAATACGTTCCAAAATTTTGCTGTTTAACTGTGTTTACAAAACAATAATATGTCATGTTCACGTATACTTGACGTTTTCTTAATGAGTTTAAAAAGTAAATTTTTTTATTAAAAATGGTTATAGGGTGCTGTGTAAAAAATTGTAAATCTTTTAGTGACGGAGCTGTAAGAGGGCACAAAATAGGATTTTTCGGGTATGATTGCATGTTAGTTATTTGAAATATTTGTAGATATATACAAAATATATTACGTGTGATATGATTGTGGTTCCAGTTTTCCATTTAAAAATAAAGAATTGTTGCAACTATGGATGGCTGTTGTACCAAGCAAAGGGAAAATTGGAAAATATTCCTTTATTTGCAGCAATCATTTTTGCAAATCTGATTTCGCCTCATTAAATGGTGCAAAAAAGTTTTGTTTAAAGAAAGATGCCGTACCTAGTATTTTTGAATTTCACGCGTTGTCAGATGTAAGTATAATAATGATTTTAAAACTTTTGTAACATTTAATTAAAAAGCAATATATCTATATTTGAAAATAATTCTTTCGAAATATTTTCTTCAAAAATTACGGGACGCGTGGATAATCTCTACATAGTTTGAATATATTAATGTTGTGATTTTATTTTATTATTAACTTAATATTTTACAATTTTTAACAATGAAATTACTATCGAATGAAAATTTCATATTTCAAAAATTCTATCAAATGACAATTCGCATAAATTAAAATTCGGACAATTTAAAATTTGGTAAATGAAAATTCTCCTATTTGGCTAAGTATAAATTTTTTGTTTAATAAGAATTTTACTAAATAAAAATTTTAATTATTTATAAATTATTTACTGCACACAGATAACTGAGGGAACATCGTCTGAAGATATGCAAAATCAAAAGACTACTGTTAAGGTATATATAATTATTTATTGTTTTACTTTGACGTGTAAAATTATATAACTTGTTTAGATAATTATTTATAATTATTGTAGGACATGTCTGTACAAACGTCAACAACATTTACTTCTACAAACGAAAAGAGATATAAAATGGAACAAAAAATAAAAAATGCACAACTACGTCTTCGACGCAGAGAAATGAAGCTCTCCAGTGTTACCGAACTAGTGAAATTATTGAAAGGAAAAAAAAATTGTTCAGATGCATTAGAAGAAGTGCTATTACATAGATTTACTGATTTTAAACTAGATTTGTTTAAAAACGAGTTGTATAACGAAAAAGTATCTAAAACGAAAAAACGCTATTCAGAAAAGATGAAAGAGTTTGCTTCAACGTTATATTTATATTCTCCAAAAGCGTACCACTTTGTAAGAAGCAGGCTCAATTTACCACATGAATCCACGATACGTTCCTGGATTAGTTAAACATCATGCGAAGCTGGATTCTTGGAATGCGTTTTTAACATTTTAAAAACTGAGTTTATAAAATCCGGTTCTAGGCAAAACGTCGACTTGATAATTGATTCTATGTCAATTAGATCACAGTTAGCAGTTGATGAAAAGGAAAATTGTTATAGAGACTGTGTCGATTACGGTAGAGAAGATTTAGGTGTGCAATACAATAAGACTGATTTAGCTGAAGAAGTTCTAGCTTTTCAAATTGTATCTTACAATTCAAAATTTAAAATTCCTATTTCTCATTTTTTTGTAAAAAGGTATTACTGCTAGTAACCAAAGTAAATTAATACTGGCTGAAATAGATAAGCTGTATGATGTTGGTATAATTGTACGATCAATTACTTGCGACGCGGAACTGCTACAAACTTCAGTACTTTTGAAAACTTGAATTGTGATTTTTCTCTCAATATGAAAACATATTTCGATCACCCACGAATAAATTCAAAAATTTATGCTATACTGGATCCCTGTCATATGATTAAGTTCTGTCGTAATATATTTGCAGAAGCAGATATATTCTCTCCCTCTGGCAAAATATCATTTCAGTATATTGTAAATTTAAACGAACTCAAAAATTTCAATATTTCCTAGAGGAAATAAGGTTACATTGCGTCAAAAACTATATAAAACAATTTTGTTTTACCACGTGTAATTCGTTAAAATTGGACATTATAACTTTCTTTTATTATTCAGTTGAATAAATTTCAAATTTCCTCCTTTCATAAAAATGAAAATGTCTTATTATTATTTTTATATACATATATTATTATCTATGTCTGTTTTTATCATCGGGACCCTCTTCCAATATTTAAAATAAAAATTTTTAAATTATAAAACAATATGGGGCATTCTTTGGGAAATTTTCATTGAAAATTTTTTTTTGTCCGAAACATTTTTTTTCGAAATCTATATGAAAAATAAGGAAATACGTATTTTTTTATTTTTTTATTTGATGAAAATGAAGGAAGTTATGATTTTTTGAAATTTAACGTCAACGAAGAAAGTGTGTTTTTGGAACATTTTTTAATCTACTGTACTAAGAAATTAAAAATTATGCTATATATGAAATTTGTTCATTTTTGCTCAAATTTTTTAAATATGTGCTCAAAAATAACGTACCTATAACAGAAGCAACAAAAAAGTTGAAATTAAACTTATAAAGTGAGTTTTCTCCAAAGAGGCACTTTCGATTTTTAATTTTTTTTTGCATTACAATCTCTGATGACTGAAGAATTTTTTCCCCTATCTGCGAAAGTGGTACTTTTAGTTTTTAAATTACTATTTATAATTTTTTTAGTACGGCTCACAGAATTTAAGCATTTTTTCTACAAATATAACCTTTTTCCATTAACATTCATTTGTTTTTTTTAATTTTCATAAAAACATACTAAAAATCGTTGCTTAAGGGCGCACTCACACCTTTTGGCTGCCTGCCTGCCTGCAGGAGTTGTCATGGCAACGTGTAGAAGTAACAGAGAGAGAAAATTCAAATTTGAATTTAGTATCTCTGTTATTCCTTATTGTTACACCTTCTTGCAGGCAGGCAGCCAAAAGGTGTGAGTGCGCCTTTAAGCTTAAAAATTGTAAATAGTAAATTAAAAACTAAAAGTACCACTTTCGCAGATAGGGGAAAAAATTCTTCAGTCATCAGAGATTGTAATGCAAAAAAAAATTAAAAATCGAAAGTGCCTCGTTAGAGAAAACTCACTTTATAAGTTTAATTTCAACTCTTTTGTTGTTTCTGTTATAGGTACGTTATTTTTGAGCACATATTTAAAAAATTTGAGCAAAAATGAACAAATTTCATATATAGCATAATTTTTAATTTCTTAGTACAGTAGATTAAAAAATGTTCCAAAAACACACTTTCTTCGTTGACGTTAAATTTCAAAAAATCATAACTTCCTTCATTTTCATCAAATAAAAAAATAAAAAAATACGTATTTCCTTATTTTTCATATAGATTTCGAAAAAAATGTTACGGAAAAATAAAATTTTCAATGAAAATTTCCCATAGAATGCCCCATATCGTCATCTGATATTAATTTTATGACGTTTCTGTCATTGTTTATCTATGTGTATATTTATAAGTATACGTATATATATTATGTATTTCAAGACTGGAGTACCTTGTTAAATATTTTCTAATGGACCTGTACCGACAAAGAGGGGAATACAAGAATCAGCCCTCTCTCTCGTTTCCCAACTTTCAATGGCAGACAGCATTCCAGATATATAGAGTTCAGTGGAAACTTGTTTAAACAAGGAGGGGGTCCTTTATGTTTATTTCATAAACATTATGCTTCCTCATTGTGTGAAGCAAAAAATTCGCTTCCTCGTGAAGGAAGCAATGAATTTGTCCAATTCAATTGATTGATTTAAAAAATTTCGAGTTAAAAATGTTTTAAATTAATTAAATTTTTTGAAAAATAAAGAAAATTTTAATTAATTTTGAGTGTAACATAAACTTTATATATACGAATCGATTCGTTTTAATGCAAGGAATACAATTATTTTATTCATCAACTTGAATTTAAAAAAAACACAAAATTTTTTAGCTAAAATATGAATTTTCGATTTTTCAATTTTTATTAATTCTCAAATTTTAAATCAAATCTATACTTTATATATACCAACCAATTCGTTTCAATGCAGGGAATAAAATTATTTCATATATAAACATGAATTTAAATAAACACATCATTTTTTAGCTAAAATGAGAATTTTTGATTTTTTAACTTTCTTTAATTCTTTAAATTTCAATCAAATCTATACTTTATATATATCAATCGATTCATCTTGACATAAAGAAGACGATTATATTATATATTACCTTAAATTTTTCGATTTAAAAATTTTTTCAATTAAAAAAAAATTTTTGGAAAAAAGACGATAAAATTTTTTTTTTGGGGTATTTTTAAAAATCCTCTCGTCATTTTTGAGAGATTAATGTGTTAAATAAGCCTACCAAATTTTATCCAAATCCATTAAAACCTGTTAAAGATATCGTGTTCACAAAAACGATCCACACACACATACACACACACACACACATACACACACATACATACATCCGGACAATTGATCAGGATCTCATATAACATGTTTCTATATAGAGGAAAATTTGTTTTCACCATTTTTAAAAAGTTTATAAACGAAAGGACTACATAGCTTCCTCCACGAGGAAGCAAAACATTGAAGATATAATACAAGAAGAAATTAAATTTATATGTTTTAAAATTTTATTCTAACCTAGGTGTGAATGCTCCTTTATGGCACAACCCTGCGAACGTTTCTAAAACTGTGCTTTGACCCTAATTGACTTGCATTATAACTGTGATAAGGCCTTATCCTGTCAATTGCCGGAAACATTTTTTTAGAATGTCAACAATAACAAATCTGATGTTTGTGGTTTTTTAAGATAATATTCAATGTCATATTTCTAATAATAGAAATTAATAAATTGAATATTTAGAAATAAATTTAACAATATGACTCTTTCATTTCGTGTGGCAACACATTGGTGTCACGATTTTCCAAAACTTGCTAAGGAGTCTGGATTTTATTTTACAACAAATAGTAGTAAACATCAAGTGGACTGGAATAAAATAGGTATGTTTTTATATATAGAGTGTTAATTTATAAATAAAATTTTCAATATTTGTAAGATAAAAAAAAAATTATTTAGCCTGTTCGTTAATTTATATGAATCTAAAATAATTATTAGTTTGTGAAATCTAACCTAAATTTTTCTCAATTCAAAAAAAATTACGAAATTCTACTATACGATAAAACATAGAAATATCTCACTATTTTTAAGAAAACTGTAAAAAGTAAATCTGTAAATTTATTAAATTTGTCTATTGCATTCAAAAAAGTTAGTAGCATTAATTACTTTTTAACTACTTCAAAAATTCTTCAATTAAATGTAAAAATTGTATTAATTACTATAAGAATGTAGTTAAATGAACCAAGAATCCATTTGGTAGAATGAGATTTTGTAGTTGTTTCAGTTTTTGTAGTTGATTTAACTAAATTTTGAATTAAAAAAGAGGGGTATAATGAAATTATTTTTATTGATTTTATTAAAAAGAGTTAAATTAATGACACACAGAGTTAAAATAAGTACAAAAACAAAAGTTCCGCTTTGAACTAATTTCAATTGAGAAAAAGAAAAAATTAATTGAACATTTTTAAACATTTTAAAAAATAACTTTGTAGAAAATGAATTTTTAAGGGAAAAAAAATTTAATTTTATATGAGGTTTCGCCCTCATGTTTTTATTCCTAAAAATTATTTGTACAATTGATATATAAGTGAAATTTTTGGTTTTTATAAATTAAACTTCATTTTCTTAAAGTACTTTGACTTTAAGAATAACATTCTCATCACGGCACTCGCGTTTCACGCTCGAAAATTAGAAAGATGCAATAGCAAAAGTAAAGAGTACATTAAAAAATTTTTAATTTTTTTAGAGTGGATGAGTGTACAGTTTTAACAGAATAATATTTTTTAAAACTTCAGTTATACCAATGGACATACAGACAAACAGACAGACTATTTCGTAAAACATATTTTTATCCTTGCTGATCGTTTAAGCGAGCTACCGCAAAATTAGTTCCAAATGTTGAAATTTAGAATTTAATTTTTTATAAAATGCAACTTAACACAAAAGATTGTTATAAATATTAGTATATACATGCTTTTAAATGTATAAATATAAACACTTAAACATATTTGTGTACATAGTGCTTTATACTTATGTACATTGATATATTATATTATAAATATTTACGAAAATTGACTATATTTTATGAAAATAATTGTTTTGTAAGTTTATATCTTTCCTTATTGTATTATATTATTCTTTTATTATACATCTGTCAATTAATTTCGAATTTCAAAATGCATTATTTATTCAAAAGTAAGTACTCTTACAAGATTTATTAGATTATGGATATTGATATTTTAACATTTTTATGTGTGTACATCCAAAAATAGGGATTCTACTAATTTCGTTCAACAAAATTCCCGGTTTTTTTCTCATTTTTACCGATTTATTTTTTCTTGTCAAATTTAAATTTGATAATTTGTAAATTTTTGCAACAGTCATGAAAATCGATATTTTTATAAAATTAGAATTTTTGTTTTTACTTTAAAATTTACCTAATCCGATGGAGATTTCATTCTAATAAATTAACAACTTTCCAGTCGAAAATCTTATGCTATATGAAGTTGAGTAAAAAGCCTAATTGAAGCGTTAGGATAGTCGACAAATAAGTTAAATATCAGTAGAAATCTATCAAGAAGCATATTAAGTCCGATTTTTCGCTTTTCTAAAGGCTTCCACTATATTTTGTCATTCGAGTAATTCGAGGTTTTGTTTTCCGTGTGGCTTCTCTGAAGGCTTTCCGGACGCTCTAAGTAAGTTTTGGATTTTCAACTGAAATTCTTTGAAAAATATTCTTAAAGATGGCTATTTTTTCGCCCTTTTGGTATCATACTACCAACTTTTTTTTAAATTCGTTAGCTTGCTCCAAATTGTGATTAGAAAAACTTCTGAATTGACAGATGTACAATAAAAGAATAACATAATACAATAAAGAAAGATATAAACTTACAAAACAATTATTTTCATAAAATATAGTCAATTTTCGTAAATATTTATAATATAATATATCAATGTACATAAGTATAAAGCACTATGTACACAAATATGTTTAAGTGTTTATATTTATACATTTAAAAGCATGTATATACTAATATTTATAACAATCTTTTGTGTTAAGTTGCATTTTATAAAAAATTAAACTCTAAATTTCAACATTTGGAACTAATTTTGTGGTAGCTCGCTTAAACGATCAGCAAGGATTTCAATTCAAATGGATTTGTAATGTCCAATCTTACCTTAAAACATCCCCGTTTGCCGATTTGCTCGTCATTTTTGGTCGAAACTTTCAGGCTTCCTGAACACCGTGAAGAGCAGGGTTGCCACGGACCTGGAAAACCTGAAATTTTCATGGAATTTTTTTTCAGTCCTGGAAAACCTGGAATTGTCAGAAAATTTTATAAAATCTCGTTCTAAAAATTTAATTTCCAATATATGTGAATCGAAAAATCTTAAGTTTTCAAGTCGTCATTACAACTTTTCGATTTTAAATTTAAGAGTTGAAATCAATATGGCGTTTCTAAATCTTAGTTTCTATTGGTCAAATATTTTCTTTTGCGTAACACGGTGTAGCTGTCTTTATAAAATTACGTAAAAGAAATATTTTGAATCGAGCATGAATATGAAATTATTAGGGTCAGTTGGGGTAAATAGAAACAGATTTGCTAAGTTTCACCAATAATATAAATTTTTTCTTTTAAATCGCAATACTTTCGGTTTTTTTGTTTATTGAGTTATTATTTAACTTCCGTGAAACAATTTTATGGGGTTGTAGTAAATATGGGTATCATTAATTCGCAATAATCAACTGTTTCTATTTACCCCTAAATTTTTCAACTTTGCTAAAATTTAGGTGTAAATATGAAACAGTCATTATTTCTTAGAAAATTTAAGAAAAAATTAATTTGAAGTATGCAAATGTTAAAAAATACAAAGAATTACGTAAAAAATGGTGTTAGTTATAAAATAATTCTAACTAATAAATAATAATGCATTACATAAGTTTTAAAATAAACCATGTTAAATAGTATGTACTGATGAGAATATAGATGAATACTATTTTCAATGCATTTTTATAATGCTAAAAATAGTGTTGTAGTTGATAGAAACAGTTTTCTCTCTCTCTAATACTGTTGAAATTTCTGTTTCTATTTACCCCGAATTTCCAGTTTTTAGGGGTAAATAGAAACAGTCTCCTATTTTTAATTGAATTTTGTAAAATGAAAAAATTAAAGTTGATTTTTGTTGTAGTATTAATAAGAGATAATAATTATAATTAATAATATGAATTTTTAGTTTATTTTTTTCCAAATGCGAGTCAAAAAAGTGAAAGGGTGTCTTCTTTAATTTTCAATTTTTTATGCAATAAAAAAAATAAAAACTCTAAGGTTCAAGGTTTATGTTGGGGTTTCAGCAAGCTACAAACTCTTAAGACTCGTTATACAAGCCTGTACCCCTTGTACTTCTCCTTATTATACTCAATATAGTCAGTCTTTGCTCACCATTCGAGCTGCTACACTAAAAGTTGCCGGCACATAAATTATATAATAAAGTTCTCTTATCTTTTATATTTCTCCTTTTATTTCTAATATCCTCATCAGGTTACATATGAATGTGTGTTCCTAGGATATTCAGAAGAAAGCAAAGGGTATCGAGTTTGGTTAACGGAACTAAAAAAGGTATACATCACTAGAGATGCAGTTTTCCTCAATGATTTTCTACCGAAGTCACCTTTGGAAAAAGAAATTAGAAATGAAGATTCTGCGAAGGATCATCAGGATGACCCGAAACAGGAAAATAAAAATTTAGAATGGAAGGACATTGAAGAATCACAAACACAATCAAAAGTGTTACCAGATACTAATATAAATGATCATTTTGTTGATCATGAAGATGAAGAAGATGAAGATTTTCTTGGATTTGAACCTGAAAATAATGAAAAACGTCAAAGATTACCTGGACGACCTCGACTTGTCAAAACTGGAATAAGGGGAAGACCTAAGAAGATTTACAACTTCAGTAAGTTCGCTATAAGTGATGATCATTTTCCATGTGCGAATATAGCCGAAGTGTCCTTAAAAGAAGCCCTCACAGGGGACGAAACAGAAGAATGGAAAAGTGCAATTAAAAGTGAATTCGATGCACTCATAAAAAATAAAACTTGGATCTTAACAGATCGACCTGCAAATCGAAACATCATTGGTTCCAGACTTGTTTTAAGAAACAAGTATAATGCTAATGGAGAATTAGAAAAACGGAAAGCTCGAGTAGTTGCAAAAGGATACTCACAACGTCCTGGTCTCGATTTCAATGAGACCTTTGCACCAGTAGTACGTCTTAGTTCAGTCAGATTGTTGATGGCTTTAGCTGTTGAGAATAATATGATCATTCATCAAGTCGATATAACTACTGCTTTCCTAAATGGTAACCTTGAAGAAGAAGTTTTTATGGAGATTCCTGAATTATTTCAAGAATTGTTACCTGAGATTGCAATGAAAGAAAATTTACAAAAAAGGAAAATTTGGAAGAAAACTCAGCATCATATATGTTAAAACAATTCGAAGAAGAAAATAAAGTATGTTTAATGAAAAAATCTTTATACGGCTTGAAGCAGGCTGGATATCAATGGCATAAACGATTGACTGCAGAATTGAAAGCTTTCGGATTAAAACCATTCAATTCCGATATTTGTGTATATGTCAGTAATAATCAAGGACGATCATTAATTGTTGCAGTACATGTTGATGATCTTATCATCATTTCCAACGATCTAGAATGGATTAATCATTTTAAACAAAATTTAAAGTCATGTTTTGAAATGGTTGTCCTTGGAAGAATCCAACATTGTCTTGGCATGGCATTTAATCAACAAAATGATTTATTAACAATTTCACAAAGCGGATATATCGAAGCAATTCTCAAGAAGTTCAAGATGGAGGATTCAAAACCTATTTCTACGCCTATGGATCCAAACACAAAATTTTCAGAAGAAGATGATCTACCAGAAGATTCTGACCATTACCTTTTTAGAGAATTGATAGGAAGTTTAATGTACCTAGCTGTTGGTACACGACCCGACATCATTTTTTCAGTTAATTATCTTAGTCAATTTAATAATTCTTATGATAAACGACATTGGATTGGAGCAAAAAGGATTCTACGCTATTTACGTGGATCAACTAATTTGGGGCTTACTTATAAAAAAGGCTCAAATAAATTGGAAGGCTTTGTTGACTCGGATTGGGCCAGTTGTAATCAAGATAGAAGATCCTACACTGGCTATGTATTTACTCTTGGCAATGGAGCTGTAACTTGGTAGACAAAGAAGCAGCAAACTGTGGCACTTTCCACAACTGAAGCCGAGTACATGGGACTCACTGAATCAACAAAAGAGGCAATTTATCTAACCAGATTTCTTAAAGAAATTGGTTTTTGGAATCAGAAAATTGTCGACCTTTATAACGACAATCAAGGAGCTCAAAGACTAGCAAAAAATCCTATTCATCACTCAAGAACCAAACATATAGATATTAGACACCATTTCATCAGAGATGCGATTCAACGAGGAATGATCAACATAAAATATATGGAATCAGCTGAGTTGATGGCAGATGTTTTGACGAAAGCATTACCCGGATATAAATATCAAAATTGTTTAGTGAAGTTTGGACTAAGATTGTTGTAAATTGTTGTGTTGTTTACGCTTGAGGGGCAGTGTTGGGGTTTCAGCAAGCTACAAACTCTTAAGACTCGTTATACGAGCCTGTACTCCTTGTACTTCTCCTTAATATACTCAATATAGTCAGTCTTTGCTCACCATTCGAGCTGCTACACTAAAAGTTGCCGGCACATAAATTATATAATAAAGTTCTCTTATCTCTTATATTTCTCCTTTTATTTATAATATCCTCATCAGTTTAAGGCCGTATTTATTTTTAAAATTTGTTATTTAACTGAAATAACTACTGTTTCGATTTACCCCTTGTTTCTATTTACCACAACTGACCCTAATAAATTATTTTATTAATAATTTAATTAAAGGATTTTGTATTTTTTGTCATAATTGGCTAAAAATTCATATTTGGGTCTGGAATTTTTTAAAAAATGGTCTGGAAAACCTTTAAAAATCATGGAATTTTAAAATCAGTGTTCCGTGACAACCCTGGAGAGAATTAAATTAGTCCGCCCGCGACGGGTGAAATAGAAACGGTCTTTTTTTCGACAATTTTGACATCACATCACATCCGAGTTAAAATTGTCTTAATATTAAATTATGAAATTGTATTAAATATAAACTCAATCCCCTCTTTTAAACACTATTGCCATAATAGCATAACAAAAAATATTTCCTTGCGTGTCTTTAATAACCACTTGCCAAATGTATTGCATAGAGTTTACTGTGTAGAAACCACCCCGAAATTTAAATACATTTTACGTTGCGTTAATAATGTTATTATGAATTTTATTTAAAATACATACTCATTGACATTAAAAATTATAATTATTTGGTTCTCAATTAAAATATAAATATAAACAACATATATTATTTAAAAAAAAGAAATTTCTACATGGAAAAAAAACGCAGAAATGAGTATTAATGTTTACAAAATTAAGCAATATTGATGAAAATATTGCATAAGGAGACCTAAATATTAAGGTCTATTTTTAATTTCCAAGATATAATTGGTTTGTATTGATGATTTGAGTAATTTGCTGGCGCTGCGGAGCAAGCCGCGCCAATAAGGTATTGAAGTGAAAATTTAAAAAAAAAATTTTCGAAAAAAACAAAAAACACCATTTTTATAGGATGTTTTATGCACATAATAAGTTTTCTTTTTTAAAAAAAGAAAAAAATTCTACCGCCATCTTCATATAAAAAAACGACAATAAAAAATTATTGTTGATACTATTGTTGATATTATTATTGTTGATACATATTTTTTCAAAATCTAAAACAAAATTTCATAACAAGTTATAAAAAGTTAATTGATTTGAAATTTGAAAAACTATGAAAAATATTTTTTTTAATTTTGACACTGTAGAATAATTTTATGTACATCAAAAAAATTGCCAGACAAAAAATTGGTACCCCTAAACAACGTATTTTATGATGCGTTTTGAAATTTTACCGGTGCTTTCTCTTAAGTAGAATTAACTAACTGATATTTTCTTCTAGGTTCCATTGATGTTGATCGAGTAATCAAAGAAAGAGATTTTTTAACAGTAGACGAAACAATAAACAGTATTATTGACTATTCTTTTGAACGCGAGTTCAATCATAAAAGTTATGATCCTAATTTCATTAAGTTATTCCGCCTAGCTCAACTTGCAGTAGAATATTTATTGTATTGTAAACAATATTTAGATAAAAGTGTTTTAATATTAAAAGAAGAATTGAGGAAAAAAATACAAGAAAATTGTACATTACAAAGAAACGTGACAATTGCTGAAGAACAAGAAAGAATTCTAAAAGATAAATTGAAGGAAAATAATAATAAAATAGAAGAAACCAAGACTAATTATTTGCACAATGAAATATATAAAGTAAAAATGAACATATTTTACCTCTTTCTGTATAATATTATTATCTATGTAGTTGTAAATGATAATTTACTTTTTAATTAATTAATTAATTTCCTTTTTATTTCTAGTGTCCACATTGTACAAAAACATTTATATCGGCAATGTTCGTTCGAGCTCACATATCTCGACGTCATCAAACTTTATCTGACTCATTCTTTACGCCTTTATCTGTTCATGAGGAGTATAGAATTGAGACTGAAAAATTGCACAATGAAATTAAGACTTTAAAAGAAAAACTAAATCAAACGGAAAAACTTATTCGGAGTAATTCAAATAAAATTTCACATGATATTTCTATAAATGATAGTTTAGGAAATGGTGAAAAATATACAATTGAAAATTGTCAAAATTTGAAAACGCAAGAGCATGACAAAAGACACGAAAATGAATTAAAAAATTTAAAGTCATCTTTATTTGGTGAATTTGAGGTTTATACAATTTAAAATTTATGGTTTTTAAAAATAATTCAATCACACGTCAATTTGAGATGTCTTACCGCACAATAATTTAGCCAGCTCCTAGCACAAATAGCATGGTAACGTAGAACAATTTTTAGCGGTGGCGGTACTATATTTAACTCAAAATTCTCTTTGTATGTGTACCCTACAAAATTTCTTTTAAACCCAGTTTTTGTTTTCAGTAATTTTCTTTAATCTTCAAATTGTCGAAATTTAAATTTCGATTTCTGGTATTTAAAGATACCAAATTTTGCATGCCTGCGATATTTAAATATAATTGTTGAGGCCTTTAATGGCTCAATGTTTTGGGTAATCGAACTCGCATTAGAAAAAACGTTTTAAGCATAAAATCTGAAAATTATTACATTTTTATAAATTTATATCTTATTCTTACGAAATTATTCAATGTTGTCTTAGTGGATTTGTCAATCTAAATTTTGTTATGAAATTTTTTGTTTAAATAAAATGTTTCTCCTGATAAGGATTCGATTTTAACAAAAACATGTAGAAAAAACTTTTTTATATTTACTATTTTTCATCATTGTTTTGTATAATGCAGGTTACATCTGATTTAGAAACTTCCAAAAACAAACTTGAAAAGAATGACAATGATTGTAAGGAAAAATTGAAACATCTCGAGAATAATCTTCGGGCTGATATAGAAGATTTATGTACTCAGCTAAAATTGAAGCAAAAAATAAAGGAATCAATTATATCTGAAAATGATTCAAAAACAAATGCCCCAGAGAATAAGTCTTTTAATGAAAAGTCTGTTTTCGTTGTGAAAAAAAATATTCACTTAAAAGATGTTGCTGTAACTACTGACTTACAAGTTCATTCTGATTCTGAAAATCTAACTGTTGTTAAATTATCTAAAACGGATTGTTTAAAAAATAGTAATCAACAATTTCGAGATGATAAATTCGATTTTCAATTTAGAGATCCGGAAAGTTCATCTAATTCTGAATTAAATGAATTTAATACATTAAAAAAGAAAGATTTATCAAGAAAAGTTGATAGAATTAAAGTTGCACCAAGGCGTGCAATTATTCCAGTTCATTCTTCCAATTCCTCGACAAAACCTGTTTTCGATGAAAAACATGAAACTAAAAATTCTTTTTCTAAAGAAACTGATGTAATTGATTTAAATAAGAATAAAAAATTATTATTACGACAAAAAAATCTGAGTAATACAAATTTAAAAACATTACATTCACAAAATAGACAGTCATTTAAAAGTTCGGATGTTTGTACAAATGAAAATTTAGGAACTATAAAAAGATGTTACGAAAATGTTCGCAAAGATGAAGAAATTGAATATTCTAGTGAATCTGAATCAAGTTCTGACACAGAATCAAGTTCTGATACAGAATCAAGTAGTAAATTACCAATGTCAAATCGTTCGCAAATTTTAAATTCTGATTTTAATATTAATAACGCTAAAGAAAGTGAAATTGAATCTTTAATGTTTAAAAAATCTTACCCGGATGAAATAAATAAATGTAATTTAAATTTAAATGAACTAAAAAGTAAATTGCATAGCAATTTAAATAATGAGTTACGCAAATTGGGTATCGATCCTGAATGGAATGGAATTCCAAGTGCTACATATAAAGAGAAGTTTGAGATTTTGAAGCATCAGCAAAAATTAAAATCAAAGGTATTAATATTGGCAATTTTTTAAATTTTCTACTGCATGGTGTTTTTTTGTTGATATATATATATATTGTGAAACTGATGATAAACATTTTATATTTTAGAAATTTGTAGCTTACAGTCAAATTCAAGAAAATCTTTTAGAGAATATTTTGCAAAATATATATGGAAAGAAGAAACAAACTGAAAGAAGTGAATTAGTAAAGAAGTCTCTCTTAAACAAAGTTATAACTAATGTTAAATCAAAAGCAAAGAGAGCGCTTAATATACAGAAGCCTCATAGTTTCGAAAAAATACGTCGTGGTAAATTTTCTTTAAGTTTTCGAATATAATACAATATGTGACGCTCTACGGTGAAAGGGACCTTAGCTGCTCTTAACTTAAGGTCTTTTTCACCGTGGAGCGTCACATATGATGCTCCACGGTTCTGTTAAATACAATCCTTTCACCGCAGAGCATCACAATATTTTAAGTAGAAATAATTTAAAAATTATTTAATTCTCCTTTCTATTTAAGGTACTCAAATGGCATTGTCACAATCTAAAGATTTACCGAAGAAAAATCCATTAAAACAATTAGATTCCCTACCACAAAAGCTAAATGAATGTGCTATTCAAGAACAGAAAAAATCAGAATTTAAACAAGTTGAATCACAAGATAAGCATCTAAAATCAAAATTTTTACATCCTACTAGAAAATTATCTACTAGTGATTCAGTAATGAAAGAAATTAAAGATATAACACGTGGCTTTCAAAAACTCGGAAATTCATGTGAAAACATTCATGACTCCCCAAGAAGAGGAAATAAAAAATCTGAGAATTCCAATTCTTGTTTTGACTTAACAAGTACTAATGTCTCTTCTTCGATGCGAAATAGAAGAAGTGGTGACCTTATGCCGGATTCTTTTGCAGTTACAGCTAATATACATAATACGAATAATGTATCAAAATCACCAAAGAATAATAGAAGTGTTTTGAAGACAGCGAGTTCTGTTGGATGTTTAATTAAAAAGAAAGTATTATTTGACTTAAGAAAATGTCCGGAGAAAAATTTAATTCAAAATGAAACAATGAACACAAATGTAGAAGACATCGAGGAAACAAATTCTAGTAGTTCAAGGTAGTAGATTTTTAAATTTTAGATAGTTTTTAATTTATAACTTCATTTTGTTTAATATAAATTTTGAAATTAATTATAAATATTTATTTTTTTCAGTATAATAAGTGAAAATGATTCAACATTCCAACAGGAGAAGTCGTTACGTATGGAGAATATTATGTTAAAGAGACCCCAAAACGATGAAATTAAAGAAATATCGAAGAACATGAAAGAGCAGGTAATGTAGTAAGTTTTTCCAAATATTCTACTGAAGAATATTGTTTACTGTTAAGAAAATTTATGACACAAAAAAAAGTTATACGCTTTTTGAAAGACAAGAGAACAATTTCTTATATCACTGTTATAAATTTGGATGAAAGAAACAAAGAATACCGAAAAGTGTATTTTAAAAATACCAAAGCTTTCAAATATTCTGTATCTTGGATCATATAGTACAAGAAATTTGTTTTGCTGTCTCTTTCACTCATTAAACGATGTTGATTAGTGAAAGAGATAGACGATCCTCGTTCTACCTGTCCTGATCTGCGCACTCTACAAGTCACAAAATCATGCAAATACTTCTTCGGACACCACACTGATTTCCACGTGATTCCACGCAAAATACAATTGAATCCAAACGGACTTCTGCGTTGATTTCCTCGGACGCATGAATATGCACCACATGTCAATTAACCAAACAGTCATTTAACCGAATTGTCTATTAACAGAATTGTCTATTAACAGAATTGTCATTTGACCGAATCGTCACTTAACCGAATTGTCATTGAACCGAAAAGTCACTTAATAGAATTTTCAGTTGACAGAATTGACATTTAACAGAATTGTCATTCGACCGAACGATTTATAAGGCGATTATTAAATGCCAAAGAATTTCAGAGATCGTTCGATACTCTTAACCGAAACGTCATTTTACCGACACGTTATTTAACAGAATTGTCAATTAACAGAATTTTCTTTTGACCGAAATGTCATTTAACTGACACCATTTTAGAATGTGAGTTCACTTTCTATTGAGTATATAGTTTTGTCGGTAAAGTAAACCTAGAGGACACTATAATATAAGAAAGTGTACAGATCTCCCTCTAGGTTTATTTTACCCACAAAACTATATACTCAATAGAAAGTGAACTCACAATTCTAAAATGGTGTCAGTTAAATGACATTTCGGTTAAAAGACAATTCTATTAATTGAGAATTCTATTCTCTGGCAACTCAGTTATTTGTTTTTTTCGGTTAAGTGATGATTCGGTCAAATGACAATTCTGTTATTTGACAATTCTGTCAAAAGATAATTTGGTTAATTGCATTTCGGTTAATTGACGTGTGGTGCATATTCATGCATCCCGATTTCCTGAGTAAGAAACCCCTCGTAAAAAACATTTAAAACAATCTCTCAAAAACAGTGAAAATAAATGGAGAGACTACATTTGGGGATCGTTTTCTTTCTCTGTTATTAACCGGAACATTTGAAAAAAAGTGGAAGAAATGTGAAAACACTATTAATACATTATATATATATAAAAGTACATATATAACAAATTGAAAACAATATTGTTTAAATTAAAATTATTTTATTTCTGGCAATACCAGGAGTAATTCTGTCGCCATCAATAAGGCCCAGATCGTCTTATCATAATAAGACAACGATCGCCTTCACTTTAAATATACGGACCTTGTACCGTATTATTTAAAGTTATCGAAAATGATATTGTATTTACCTTGCTGACACTGGTGAGAACCCGTCTGGATCGCCATCATTTTCCCCAAAACCCAATTGACAAAATATCTAACTGTCAAGAACTTATTTCTCCGAATACTTATGTAACCAAAAATCCACTGATCAGAATACTTAATTCACAAAAACTCCACTAGTCAGAATGTTTAAATTTCTGAATCTCCATTTGCTAAAATGTTTAACCTAGTACAATGCGCACGAATTTTTAAAATTAAAAAATAGTGCCTCTAAATGTTCTATTACTAGGTATTACTAGGTAGGAGGTGGTGAATTGAAGCGACATCTATTCTACCTTACCGATTCAATACAGACGAGAAACTGTATTCGAAAAAATGTATCTGGCGAGTGTCAATTATGCTCTCTTATTGTTAGTGTTCGGGGAATTAAAAGTTTTGACAAATGCAAATTTGGGAATTTCAATATTCGGATAACTAGAGATTAGGTAAGTTTATTATTTGGACAAAGGGATATTCGGGAAGTACAATATATTGACAAATACAAGTTTGGGAAGATAAATATTATGACAACTGAAATTTTGGGAAGTTAGATATTATGACAAATGGAAATTCGGAATGTTAAGTATTTTAACAAATTGCGATTCGGGAAGTTAAATATTCTGACAAAATTTTTAGTTATCTGGATCTACTGTCTAGAACCAGATCTGGGCCAAGCCAGACCTTTCAGACAAGCGATTCTTGACGCTTTCCAACTTGCGCCAGGCTTGACTCTCGACGTTCCAGAAGATTTTTTTACACGGAATGCGATAGTCTTTCCTGGACTGTTCATCCTGTACACCCTCGATTTTTTGAGTCTTGTTAATAAGTTCGTTTTTCATTGTCTTCAGCACACGAACGCTGATTCCAGTCTGTGGAATTAGAATTACGAAAGGCTAGACTAACGCGTGCATTTTAATGCCCTGCTCCTGACGATTTTATTTCATCAAATTATGTTGTAAACTATTATCTGCGTAAGTTTCAAGTGAGAGGAAATCACTAAAAAAATAATTTTTTTTCATGTTCAGATGACTAGTTGACGTATAACTTACCACTTTACAACCAACTAACGCTTTTATTTGTTTGCATTATGATGTGAACTATCATCTGAAAAAGTATCAGTCGAGAGGAAATGACCGACCTAAATTTGTCGCTGGCTGCCGGACTATACCGCGCCGGGGAATCTTCCGAAAGTTCTATCTCTTAGAATATTATTCTAATCGATTTAGAATTTTGGGACAATATTGGGGACTTATTGAACTATTTTTTAAGCCAAAAAATTAATTTTTTCAAAAGTTGAAACCCACTTAAACTCTGAATTTCAATAACAATTAAACAAATAATTTAGCTATTATTAAATTCAGATAATTTCTGTTACAGGTAAATGTCGTTCGAATGATGCCAGCTATTTCAGTAGAAACCCTTTCCACGGTCAAGTCCTCTTTAAAATCAATAGTTAAAAATGATAGTATTCCTCAAAACGTTTTTAAAACTGATAACTTAATTTTAAAAAGTTGCGAAACCCATACTGAAGATAAAAATTTACAAATTGCTTCACGTAATTTAGGAAATAATCATTTCAATTCTAGTAGATTAGATAGTCAAATGTTCAACACCGAAGACGATAATTTAGATTTAGATATAAGTGAGATTTTAGAAATAGAATAAGTAATTTGAGATATGTTTTTTATGGGTATGATACTTTTTTCATTGTGTTTCAGTTTATATGCTATTAAACAAACATTCCGTTGTTCCTATAGAATTTATTTACAGAAATGGGACATGTTAATACTTCCTGAAATCTTCTTTGTTTTTATAAAGACAAACCAGATGAGTTATAATTACTGCCATTGATTGATTATTATACAAATCAAATGTTTATATAGTGAGAAATACAAATAAAATTATATGTTTGAATAAGGTTTAAGTGTTTTATGTGCAGTAGCTTGTATTTTTAAAAGTATACAAATTTTTGTTAAAATTAGAATTATTCAATTATTACTAATAAAAAAATCTGCTATTTTATCATTTTCTCTATAAATAAGAAAAAGTCAGTCTAGCGTGTCCATGAAAGCGTTTTGCGATTATATTAATTACAAACTACGGACATACGTCAAAGTCTCGATCGTTATAATGGTCTCTACCTGGTGATAGCTCCTGATTTCATTTCTGATCCGCCAATCTCTTCCCATCATTACTCTTCCTCTTCTCATCTCCCTTTACTGCGCCGCGCCTATATCTTTTTTTCTTCAGAGTTTTTAGTGTAGTAAACGAGATGACGTGATGACGAAAACATCATCAAAGCCCTGCTCTCGCGCAACTCAGCAGAGAGAACCTTTTCAGATATTTTGAATACTTTAAAGGTCTCTCTATCCTTTCCTTTAATCCTTTGAGTCATGGAGAAATCAGGTTATCCCTGCATGAGAGAATTCTGAGTATTTTCTCGAAAGCCATTTTCTTCTTAACTACAGCAGAGATTAGTTCGCTTCAGCTAATAGGATTGGGATTGGTGTTGTTCTCATGCAACCTTAAGGGGGGAACACCAGTTGTAACTTTCGAAAAATCGATTTTTTTTTTGGTGCATTTTCTTAAAGTATACATATTTAGAAATGTGTCTGTAAATTTCAAAGTTGATCCGGTGAAAAATAAATGAGATATACAGAACACTGCAGCGGCGCGTCCCGTGGCTTCATACAAGGTGGCCAGCCATACCTGACCCTAACGACAGATGGCCTTTTCCTATGATTTAGAAACGGCAACCACTGCGGAAGAGTTATTATATTGTCCAGGAATCGATGACTCTTTGTAACTTAGAAACAAAATTTCTTCTGAACAAAAAAAAGTAAGTTGAAACTTTTAATGCGTTTTTCTCAAAATGACATTTTCCAAGTCGGTGACCACGATTACTCGAATACCATTAAACCGATTTATTTAAAATTTAGTGTGCTTCATTTACACATATAAGTCTAGTTCGTGATCGAAGGATTTTTTTTTTTAATCAAAACTTTTTTTTATATAGCTGAAAATCGACCGTATTTTTTTAACGAAAATCATACTTTTGACTTTGACAGGTCGCCATTTTGTCAAATTTTTTTTTTTTTTTAAATCCTTCGATCACGAACTAGATAATCTTATAATAAATGTAAATCAATTTCATTTTTGTATTTCAGACGAAGTATACTTGCAGAATGCTGGTCACCGCAATTCGCCTTTTTTCTTAAGACGCCACTTCAATGGCTCATATCTCCAAAAGTTTTTGTTAAAAAAATTTTTTTTTTCTTTTAAATTACAGCTTTTTACATGTACTTTTAACTAATAAATAGTATTCTTTAAAAAGATTCATTGTTCTTTTGGAAAATATTCTTGAAAAAACCATTATTTTTTGAGTTACAACTGGTGTTCCCCCCTTAAGATCACAGGGCCTGGTGCTGAACTTTATCCATTCTTCTAAAAAAAGAATCACTAATACTCTTGCGTATAGTATTACGCGTATATTATTGTCACCGTAAATTAATATCAAAGTGTCTAGGTTTTGGAATTACTTATTGTAACGTTGTATTTGGTTACTTAAATATAAACACATTTTCCCGTGTTTTGCCGAAATATAATTTAAAATAATTACGCGAGAAATAATTATAATTATTAAATGAGCCAAGTCCAAACTCCAAACTTACATTTTTATATTATGTTTATTTTGTTATAAATTGAGCAATGTAATTTCTATAATTTCCTAAAAATAAGAATGAGATGCACAGATTAGGGTAACTTAGGATAGAATAATTAGTATAAACAAAATTTGAAAGGAAATTTAAAGGTAAACACTGAGTTACACTCTGATTAATGTTTGATATAATTGTAATTTGAGTGAAAAGAAGTGGCCTGAATATTACGAAGACATACTCGCTATATATTTATGTAGCACAAGAAGAAGAGAAAAAATTATCGACCACAATTAGTTACTGACTTTTAGAGTATAATTTTCAGACACTCGGACCTGCAGCACTCTGGCTCACTGATGCTTTTCCTTATTTATTTATTTATTGAAATAAACGGGACAAGCCCTTTCGTACAAAGTACTCTTAAAAACTAAAGAATGATCTAAAACTAAGAATAAATTTAAGAAAACAAGTTGATAAATTTAGGCGCATTATTGGTTAAAGTTCAGGATGAGCCTACGAAGTGCTAAGGTGAATCTTGATAAACTGTTATCAAAAAAGTTGACATTACGGGAGATACTGTTCGCCTCTCTACTGAGTCTGTTAATTAATGATAATTATTACCATAATTTGTTCTGTGAAAAGAAACAGAGAATAATGCGAGTAATGTCTAGTAATTACACTAGGAACTGAAAAGTTTATCAATGACAGTAATGTAGGGCAATCAATAATTTCGTTTATCAATCTGTATAAAAAGATCATGTCAATGTAAAGAAATCTGGATGTCAACAATGGGATATTCATAATAGATCGCAGTTCATTGTAATTATGGGTATGTCTGTCAAAAGGTAAATTTAATTGTCGTGCTTATGTTAATATATTATATATTTTTGAACTTAGTTTTCAACTACAGTCCTGGTTGTAGTAACCAATTTTCTATGTCAAGGTAACACAATTTTTTCTGGTTCGAATAACATATATGTAGTCAAAGGCAAATTTCACCACAAAAATCTGGTTGTATGAACTAGGAATTTATCTCGATTGAGTAGAAGCGCTTCCGCCTCAATTCCCGCGTATCATATAAGACTGGAAATTCTAGAGATGAACGGTCACAAGAGATAATTCCTAGAAAAATTGATAGAAGCGCACGTCTTTTGTAATTGACTGTATGTGATCCAATGTCTTTGTTGTAGAATGACTATTTTTAACTTTGCAATACAGAAAAAACCTAATCTCATTTTTGTTGCAAATCAAAATGAGCCAATGCTAAACGACATAGACAGTAGCGCCACCAACCTGGTTCATTTTTGTTGCACATCAAAATGAGCCGCCTACACGACTTATTCTGAGTTCAGTTTTTTTTTCTGTGAATGTACCATATTTTTTAACAGCGTCATTCTTGTTTATTGTTTCCAAGAACGTTCACTAAAGAGTAAATTGTATACCTCCATTGATCTTAAGAATAAATGAATGTTAAGACTTTTAAGTTTACTTCTGTCATCAATGATTTTATTTCATCAATTTCATTATCACCAAACAGTGTTATTATAGCAAAAAATGAACTTAACTTGATTTTAAAGACTTACACTGTAAATTAAAGTAAATACTATATAAAGCATTGGAAAATGAATGTTCCAATTTGGAACACACTTTGGAGTTAGTATCTGTAAAGTAAATTTTCTATATGATGCACTTCAGTGTGTATTAGGATTATACATTGGTTTAGTTATTGGCCTAATAATAAACCAATATAATATAAACTTTTATTTCATTAAATAAACAAATTGATTAAAAATTTATTTTAATAAAACTTTTAAATATTTTATTTTATTTATAAATAATAATAAATATTTTTAGAAATTTACTTAAAGTCTTAAAGTCTATTAAAGTAATTTGTTCTGATAGAAGAACAATTACAAAATGTGTTTTTTCAATAGCCACTTAACATTAGATAGAAGTAGAAGAATTCATCTACGATTTAATTAAGATCGTTATCTGGAAGTCGATTATGTAATTTGTTCGCTAATTTATCTTTCACTTTCATTGAATTTTTTCTTTCGATACATAAAATGTCATTTTAACATTTTTTGTGCACGACAAAAAATTTCTGGCTAATGCAGATTAATGTTTTAATTTAAATCGATAGAAATCTATCTATATCTGGTTAGTCTTCAAATTTTAACTTGCGCAAATGTCAAAAAGACATTTCCCGTATGTAATTTTCAAAGTGAGAAGGTATATTACAAATGATTCTTTTTTTTGTAGTTCGTAGCACACGATCTGAAACGTACAATTTTGAACGGCCGCACATACAAACAATCTCACATATAAGTAATATGCCTAATCTTAAGAATCAAGACACCTTTAATTCAAGTAAAATAATTACACATTAATAAAACAAAAGCTTTAAATCTCATTAACTAATTAATTAAATTTAATTATATTTCGTGAGCACTGCAATACTATGAATAAAAATTAATAATACTAATATTGAACGTGCTCCATTTGCATAGAATAAAATTAAACCAAATTATATTTTTAAACTTATACATTTTAATCGTAATTGATTAAAATGCAATACAAATAATCTCAATTCGCCTCAGTTTAGCTGTGTTAAATTTGTACAAGTGTAATATAATTATTTTTAAAAACCTGTTATAGTCTCTAATTATTAAAACCTACTATTTTCATCAACTAAATAATTTCAAAGACTTCTCGGCTATTATTCTTCAACTGATGAGGGTAAACTCACTTTCAATTTAATAAACTGTTATGTCTTTTCTGCTTCCCTACTTTCAGATTCTCCTATGGAAAAAAAATTACCCTTCATTAAATATAAAAATTGGTTATTTTTTCTTATTCGCAGGACTAATATAAAAAATTATCAGATTTATCCATCATTAACATAGATTTTTTGGGGGGATTTTTGCGGAGACGCTAATTTCGAATTTCAGAAAGCAGAAGTTTAACGGGCGAGACTTGTACAATTCTTGATTATTACAAGTCACAAGATGAAAATGAAAAATTATTATAAAAGTTTATGTTACTTACTAGATGTGCTGCCAAATTTTTGCTTAGTATAATGCATTGGCTTTTTAACACTACCAACAGTACACTCCTGTGTGCCACGACATGTTTTAAGGTGTTCCAATTGGTTATGTAAATATGTTATTTCTGATGAAGTTAATGATGAAATTCTATTCCACTGTTCAAATGGATCTAAAATGTATAAGATTCATTTAATTTAAGAAAAGCAATTTATAATAATTGAGAAATTCGTAAAAATTATTTCCAAACAGAATTGGTAACTAATTTGAGATTAGACAGTATTAATTTCTGTTTTACTATGGTTATGACTAATTTTAACCAGGACATCACAAACTCACTAAATTTGATTAAACTAACTCATAGAGAATTTCTAAAACTTTAAATTGTTTTAAAATTCTCTACTATCAAAGTCAGTTTTGAAAATTCACTATGACCAAAGCCAGTCAAATTTTGTGATTACAATTCTGGATTCTGAATTTATAATTTTCTAAGCAATAAATATATTAAAACTATTGTAAGCAGACCAATAAAAATAATCTATTGTATTTTATTATTTGGGTTCTTCCATTTTAAATAGATATTGTAACAGGAAGTATTTTTATATTATGTCTAATTAGAAATTTTAGTCGACCTTGTTTTAACACAATCATGTGCACGGCCCTAGATGACCGTCAAAAAGGTCAATTTTGACAGACTGTATTTCGGAAATTATTAGAGCTTTCACGTTGTTCTTTTTGCAAATTGTCAGGAATTTAGTCAGTTTTAATTTTTCTGTTGGTTATTTTTTCAAAAAATCATTAGTTTCAAAGTTCTATTGGAAAAACTAAAAAATACCGGATTTTGGCTAAAATCACGAAAAAATGGGTTTTTCTTTGCGGAAGCTGTATCTCGGTCAATGTTTGGGCTACAGGGTTCATTTTTTTTAATCAAGTTAATCAGAATTTTATACACTTTCTTTTTTGTGATAACTATTTTTATGCTAAAATGTCATGAAAGGCGTCAATTTGGAAAAAAAATTATTTTTTGCACTTAATTCTTAAAAAAATTTAAGATTTTTAATTTTTGTTAACTGCCTTCTGCATAAAGCAGTCAACTGAAATTTACCACATAAAATCCTATATTGTTTCCTATATATAATTCCATGTGAAATCTTAGGTTGATATTTCAGAATCTACATAAAATCCCATGTGATTTCCTATGTTCAAATCCATGTGAAATCATATGTAAGAAACAGGGCACATGAAATCCCATATGGTTTCCTATATTAAAAATCGTATGTAAGATTTTATATAAGGAAATCTTTAGAATTTTATATGATATTTTTTATAAGATTTGATGTGAGTTAATTATGGAGGAAATTGACAAAAATAATATGCCAGAAAAATTATAGGAAATAATGTAGGAATTCACATAGATTTCAATGTAGAAACAACACCATAAATTCCTACATGAAATAATACACCAACTCGTGTCCGAATTTCATATATGATTTTACATGAAATTCTATGTGGATTCCTATGTGGACCTAGGATTTCATAACAATTTATATAAAGGAACCTGATATGGAATCATATAGGATCCCATGTGGGGATTTTCAATAGAGAAAGGAGTAAAAAATAATCTTCAATGTATAAAATTATATGGGGGGGGGGGGGGGTTCTACACTATTTCAACATATCGATAAATTTAACATTTTTGATTTTGCTAAATAATTTAAATTTTTTTTCCACTTTAAGAATCTCTAGGAAATTTTGTCTTTTTCCTAAAATCATAGGCATTTCGCGAATTGTCAGTTCTTCGGGTTTTGTCGGTAACTGTGACACGAAAATATTTTTTTTTTTACTCACCTATTCTTAAATTATAAAATGTGACTAATCCTGTTGTAAATTCACAATAAAGAAAGTTATGGGTACTATTAATTGTACGAATGCATGAATAAGTATTGTTATTAGCATTCATACAAAAGCAGAAGGGTCCGCTGCTCCATAATGGTTCAGTTCGCCAATGATCATTATTGTGTTCGAAACAATTCATTTTCTCCATTAAACATTGCTTTTCCAATTTATTCTTTTTCTTTATTTTCTTTTCCCTTTTACGCATTAGCTCTTCTTTTATTCTACGTCTTCCTTTTTTAACAGAATCTTTTACATCTCTTTTATAGTATGTATCTGGTTGACAGTAGCATTTACTGTGTCCATTAAATGGATAATTTAATATTGTTGGTAATTTAAAATTCCTTTTTGTATTACCTGAAAATGAAAATAAAATTTTTAAATACTTAGAGTAAATGAAAGATTACGTGCAATGTGAATATAATTTAATTAATATCGTTTTATTTAAAATTAATATAGTTTATATAATTTAAGTTTGATTTTAAATTGTTATCAGGTAATTATTAATTTCACATGAAATCATTTAAAAAATTAGTGTAATTTTCATAATAATTTTAATAAATTTACTAAAAATGTTACCAAATTTTTGCATTCTGAAAGATTGTTTTAAATCTGTTGCATTTATTCTATATGTTTCACGGTCATTATAATTTTTTCTTCTTTTATTTTTTATTGGTATTCTAGAAATAGTATTTAAAAGTGAATTGGGTAAGTACGTAGTTTCAATAGTGCCGGGTGTTGTCATAGATGAATAACTAAAATCATTTTCTGAATTTTGTAATATTTTCGATGACTCTGTAGAAGTTATTGTTTTAGTTATATAATCAGTAGTCTCTTTCTTTAATTCATTAATAAAATTCTCGTTGTCTTTTGTAGTTTCTAAAGTTACAGTTTTCTTATTAACTTTATCATTAAAGGATGTATCATTTCTTTGATTATATTTACAACATTTTTTATAATTGTTTTGAGTTTCATTTCCTCCATGAGTCTCATTATTAACAATAATTTCTGATTGTAATGTTGTTTGTAAAATTTTATTTAACCTTTTTTTCTTTTCTTTTCTAGATGAATTATTCATTGCACTTATTTTGTCTAGTAATAAAATTATATTTTTCTCATTTGGAGTAGTCTCTGAAGTTGATTGGAATATTGTCGATAAGATTTGTTGATTATTTGGTTTCTCTGACTTCATTTGTTGACGACGGGTATGATTTCGAGGCTTTCGATAAAATAATTTTTGTTTTTGGCTAATGTGTGGTTCATTAAAATCATTAAATTCAACTTCTTCTTTGCCAAATAGTGGAGGGCGTTTCTTCATGAGAGTTCTCTTGTTTTTCTAAAATAATAATAAAGTTGAAACTTAATAATAATAATTTTATGATATGGCGTCTGCCCGATTATTAATGTAATAATAAAATATATTTAAGTATAAAATACCTTAACTTCATTCATCTCTTCTTCACTATTTCTTACAGCTTTTATTACATCCTTAGAACTTTCTTTCTTTGATACACTTCTCTGAGTTCTTGGAAGCCTATTATTCACATTTGATCGTCTTTGCGTGTATTTTTTAAAAATGTGGTATAAGTATTTAACCGAGTGTTGATTCAGATTATTTGATTTCCAATTTGAAGCGTCTAAAAAATTTTAATATGAAAATTGTGAGTTAACATTTAGTATATTGGATTGGAAATTTACATTAATTGGTCCTAAAAACTATTTTAAATACCAGGTTTCACGAAGACTGATATAGTAGATATGTTTTTCACATATATCTTAATGATGAATATATACAAATTAAAAATAAAAACAGAAATTACCTTTTCTTAATGAAATACTATTATTTGCTTCGTTGATCGCTTTCGCCTTTTTCTTTTTTCCATCGTTTATTGCTTGCTTACTATAGCTATTTGTTTCCAATCTAGTATAAATAACTCCATTCGGTGTAAAACATGCGCACTTTCTTGTTTCCATTTGTAATGAAGCTTCTGGTGTTGATTTCCGACATTTGTATTTTCTCCAACGATTACCGTCTCTTTCACAACGCCATTTTTGACCTGGAATACAGTCTGTTTGAACTTCAGGCTTTGAACACTCGAATTTCAATCGTTCAAGTTTGGAAATATAAAAGGGTTCTTTTATGTTATCTTTGACAGGTGAGCTGAAATCTGTAAAGAGAAAATAATTATCAGTTACACTTAAAATTATCCCACATTCCTTAAGCGTCGTAATTTAAATAATAATTATTTTTTAATTATTTATTTTATCGTCATAGTTGTCAAGAAATAAAAAAAAACAACTAATATTAAAATGTGTTTTACTCATTAAAGGATTTATCTATAGGTCAAATCAGTTAAGTATTAAATACATGTACTCACTTATGTCATCTATGAATAAATCATGGAATTCGTCGTTTTCGAAAATATCTCGTGTCTTATTAATTTCGTCTTTATTACCAATATTTTTCTTTATTTCTGAATGATTTAATTCACTTTCATCATTGTTTACCGATATGTTTAGCATTTGCTTAGTTCCAGTATTAAATTGTCTTCTACCCTTCTTAAGTTTTACTTCTGCAGTTAATTCTGAAAATTCTCTACGACCTGAAGATTCAATCAGAAACGTATCTGGCCATTTAACTTTTATTCTTCTGCCATGTTCACTGTTATAAATAAAGTTGTTCATTCAAGTAAAATTATTCAAATTTAAAAATGAGTTCTTAAACAATTCCATTATTGCATTTTATTACAATATTCATCTTCTTTATAGTTATACATAATATTTACGGTCAACTTACAAGTAATGGATTTTAAAGAATAAAAATATTTAAATTAAAACGTAGCATGCGCATTCTATAACAATTTTAAATCTGTTCATTATTAGACTTACTTAAGAAACAGTTTTTTAAATGAACGTCCATCCATGTGTAAAGGTACATCTATACCAGCGATATCCAAGAAAGTAGGAGCTAAGTCAATATTTAGAACGATGTCATCTATTCTATAATGAATTACATACAGGAGATTGTTATTGAACAGATCAGGAATGAATAAACTTGTAAATGTGAGGGATGTTTTCAAGCTGTTGCCGTTGTAGCACAATAAAAAATAAAGTACAATAAATTTAAAATCCTTTAATTAAAAGGTACATTAATTACTCATCGTCGATCCCAAAGACACACAAACACACACACAAGTAAACACAAACATGTACCTATATCAGTATATATAAGGGCTATCACCTTATATAAAATAAATGTTAAGAAAAGTTATATATGTACATATAGACCAAAAATCTACAACAATTTGAAAATATTTATTCACAGAAATTTAGGACCTCATTGATTAATTACAATGATTTTCACAAGTTTCATTCTAAAAATATACTTACATTGAACCAGGCAGAATTCCAGGACCACGTATTAGAAAAGGAACTCGCACATCGAATTCAAAGGGAAAGCTTTTTCCCTTGACAAGACCAAATTGACCAAGATGATAACCGTGGTCAGATGTATAAATTATATAGGTATTATCTAGCTCACCAAGAGCTTCCAGTTCTTTATAAATCTGTAAAAAAATTATTTATTCTGTTAGAAAATGATTAAAAATGAAAACAATCTTAATTCGAGTTTCATTGATTTTAGAATTTCTTTTGATCTGGACATTCTCGAGCTTGCAAATAACTTAGCCTCAGATCTCTCTCCCTCCGAGATAAATTATCGCTTTGTGGATTCTCTTAGACGATGTAATCAGGAGTCTAGTGTCTTTATACCATCTGGATCCTCCCTACCATAGCGTGCTAGGACACTTTAGTGGAATGCGATAGGGCCTTGGAGTTCAGAAGAGAAAATTATTCTTTGGCGCACTATCAGAGCTATCTCTTCTCGTTCTGACCAGCCGTATACCAATTTGTCAACTGATTCTTCTAATCCTGACATAAAATATAAGTACGACCTAATTAGAGAAGATTTATCACCAAATGACATTCCACTCTTGTCCATTCCTACTCAATTTAACAACGAAGATTTTGCTCTTTTTAATGAATGAGTTCAAATCTTATCTAAACTCTACAAAATCCAATTCGGCTCCGGTTACGTTGGAGTTTTTGCTTCTTCTGTTTAACCATATGTTTCTCTGCTCATCCTATCAGACAACTCGACTGGAAACACATTTCCTGGTGATTACGAAACCTGGCGGTAAAGGTTACAGACTGATCGTCCTCACCTTAGTTTTCTCAAAACTATTTGAGAAACTCATTTAAAGTAAATTGGATCATGAGGTGGAGGCGAAGCGCCTTATTCCCAAATACCAATTTGGCTTTAGAAAAGAAAGATCGTCATTGGACTGCGGATATTACTTATATATTATTACGTATATTCTATACCTTTGTCGCGGATATTTTACATAGTTTTGCGGACTCTTCTAATACGCTGGCTATTTCTATTGATATTAAAGGTACATTCAATATCGTACGACCTTAGATTTCAACCTAATTTGATTAACTTCATTACGTTTATTACCACTAAAAGACGCATTTTTTTTACCCCTAATGTATCCGATATGAAGAATCTGATTTATACTTGTGCGACATAGGACTTATTCTCCCTAGAAACATGAAGTTTACAATGTATGCCAATGATTTGCTTAACCTTCGCGCTACCGACGAGTTTTTGTTTACGCGGACTACCGGGAGCCACCCAGGGTGACCTAAACGTTTATTATTTTTATGTTGCACTCATCAAGATTTTTCGATATAATAGTGTGTATTTTACAAGTAATGTATTTTAGTACACTGAGAAAAAAGGTTTGAGCTGACAACCAAATATTTCATTTAATATATGTGCAACTAAAATTTTTTGGTTGACACAACTAAACTTTAGTTGACATCAACCAAAGTTTGGTTGAGACTACCAAATTCTTTTTCATTTTCTTATTTAGTCGTCTGAAACAAACTTTGGTTGTTGTCAACTAAAGTTTAGTTGTGTCAACCAAAAAGTTTTAGTTGCACATATATTGAATGAAATATTTGGTTGTCAGCTCAAACCTTTTTTCTCAGTGTAATAGTAATATTAATAGTTATTTTAGAAATTGATGCAAAACTCAAGGTAGATTTTAAACATTTTCTATCGCTGGGTCACCCCGGGTGGCTCCCGGTAGCGCGAAGGTTAATTATCTTAAATTCAAGGATCCAAGTTCTATATCTGAGGAGATCTACTTTGCCCTGAATAATTTATTCGCTTGCTTAGAGATTTGAGTCTATATTTGACAATTTATTTTTAAAGAAGTTAGAAGAGAACATATTCACTTAGGTTTTAATTAAATAGCTTCTTAAGTAGAAAAATTATTTTTCCCAATAAATAAAATTTAGACAAAATTTTTTTCAGATTTTAGTTAAAGGCTATGATTTTAGTTGATTATAATAAATTAATAATAAATAATAATTTAATACATTATTACGGGGGTGGGGGGAGACAAAAACTTATGGTTGACCACAAAGGGGTACAAGGAGGTATATAAAAGTCGAAAAACAGGTAACGTAGTTTAGAGATGGCCCTTAAGAGTTTACGCTACTTTGAAAATTTCAATAATCAATTATAATAACTGCATAAGGTTGGATTTACATGTTGATGTAAATGCAGAATGCAAAACCGAAAATAATGAGAGTGAAAAGGACAGGGATATATCACTATCCTTTTCACCCTCATTATTTTCGGTTTTGCATTCTGCATTTATATCAACATGTAACTCAACTTATAATACACTAGTGTCTATAACCTTGCGTCAAAAATGAAACATCAGATTTTGTCACAGAACCACTATCAAGCCGACATCAGAGTCGATGTGCGAAAGGGGGTTCGGGGTTGCACCGATATCTGCTAGATGGCGCTAGTTTAGATTTAACATTTCCCTGCAGTTGGCGTTGATTTCTATAGCATACGTTACTTTGTTTCACCTATTTCTCCCACTAGTAAGAGAAATGAGCATTTTCTTCACGATTACATCGAGGAATAGGCTATTTCGGACCTCTACCGCCAGGCCCCCAACATCGCATTTCCTGTGCAGGTATTAAAGAAAAAAACTTACTCGTTCAACTGCATTATCAACGCTTTGCAAGGTTTGAAGTCTTTTGGTCATCAACATATTAGTAAATTCTTTGTGAATTGGCTGCATTTTCTTAGTCACTTGTAAAATCCATTGTTTATCTGGATTTGGTGCATAATCGTAAGAAGGAGTGCTGAAATAAATATCCAAAATTGAGTGAATTATATAAAATATGATTTCATTGTACCTATTTGTTATTGTAATTATAACTCTATAGAAATTTATTTAAAAATATTTAAATTTTTCTTGTCTTAATCCAAATCTGGATTTATGTAATTCATCAAAGTAAAAAATTCTTTAATGTATAAATCAATATGTAATTTCTAAGTGTTCAGAAAATTAAATTTTGTTTCTCTCTTCCGATTTTTGAATAATTATAAACACAATCACGTTCATTACTAATCAGTATTTTATAATTTTTCTTTTGTTATCCATTTATCGTTCATCATATGAACTGCGGGGAATGTATATAAAAATAAGTAAATAAATGAGAAACTCACTGATGCGTTGTGACATTAAAGAATAGATGAGAAAACTGTGGAGCAGAGTCTTCAGGTCCATGTGGCGCAGGGAAACTTGCAACTAACATTAATGGCTTGCGTGCCATATTATATTTACTTTGACGTAGGAAAGATACACTATCATTTGCTATTAGATCCGGATAATAATCTTTGCTGTAGTCAAATCCATGTTTTATCTTTTTCCCATTCATATTCACAGTATAATTATAGTATCGTGAATTCATTATTAATCCTCCCCATTCACGCCATCCAGGAGGAATGTATGATCCATTGTATTTATTTAGATATTTTCCAAAATATCCTGCAACATAATTAAAGATTTATTTTTAATAAAATACAATGTCACTTAATTGAATATAGTGGACTCGACTCTCATAATACTTGTGGTTACTAGAAAGAATTGTCGATTTTAGATAGACTAAAGTACTTATTTAACAATGTATCAACATTTTCGCATTTCATAACCAATCTTTATCATATTTTAAATTCCTCCACAAAATTTCAGCTGAATCCATTCAGCATTTTACGAGAAAAGTTACGGACAAATTAACATTACAGACATAACAGTCACATGACCTTAACAAACCACCTTGAAACGTTCCATATGCAATTGAACAGCCAGGTGGCGCTACTGTTGTCCACCACGTAAATTAATTATTTATTGCTACTAGATCATATAATACAAAAAATTAAAATCTTCTAACCAGGGCTTTTTAAGAAAAATGATTTTTTAAACTGTAGTACTATAATCATTGATTTATTTTGAATAAAATATATAATTTTATTTAAATACGCATTTATAAACAGGCATTATTGTACTATGTATTTTATATTCATAGAAATTCTCTAACAGAGCGGGTTGTTTATAGACATGAGTGCCCTTTAATGGAAGCTTGTAGGTCAAAATTAGGTATTTCATACTCTCTAGTTAGTTGTTTGTATTGTTTTTGAAAGAGCAATGATGTAGCTTGTTATGTCTTTTCCTTTGAGTGATCTGTAACGTCTTTCATAGTATAAACCCTATTGAAAATTCCTACAAAGTTTCCCACGTATGATCGAAAGGGTTAAAACGAATCTATTAGGAATCCTCATAAGATCCTCCGTAAGATCTTACGAGGGATGCGTTTAAGGACGCTCCCAGACAACATACGACATTACTGTACGAATTTGGTTAAGGCAATGTTACAGGAAACTATATAGTTTCCTACGTAGGATCCTAAAAAGAATGTCACAAAAAAATATTTGAAAATAAATTTGGAGGGACTGGGGATTGAACCCGGGTTCGACGCGCGCTAGCTAAAGACCCTATACACTAACCTAACCACCGACTGCAGAGAAAAACAAAAATCTTCCTCACACTCTGCAATCTAAAGTTTCTACTTAAAGAGTATGAGGAAGGTTTTTCTTTTTCTCCGCAGCCGGTGGTTAGGTTAGTGTATAAAGTTTTTAGCTAGCGCGCGTCGAACACGGGTTTAAACCCCATTCCCTCCAAATTTAGTTTTAAATATTTCTCCAGAATACTATACACGGAAAAAGATACTTTGCGAAACTTTCGTAAACTAGTTTTTCACTTTTGGACGGTCCCAAAGTTTGGAAAACTTTCATTAACTTTTTTCAAGATTTCACAAACGTTCATCACAATCAATGTCTGCGCACGCGCACAAAAAAAAGTTTGCGGAATCTTGAAAAAAGTTAATGAAAGATTTCCAAACTTTGGGCCCGTCCAAAAGTGAACAACTAGTTTACGAAAGTTTCACGAACTATTTTTTCCGTGTGGAAATCGAAAAACAAGCAAGGCAACAATGACATAAATAAAAAAAATAAACAAAAATTTTTTTTAATTTTAACTTTTTGTGAGATCTTTTGTAGGATCCTATGTAGGAAACTATATAGAAAACTATATAGTTTCCTGTAACATTGCCTTAAATCCTAGTAAGTATTAAATCATGTACATAAACATGCGTGTATGAACATGTATACACTTACCAGTGCGATAACCGGCGTTGCTGAGATAAACAGCGAAGGAATGAGGTTCATGATCTCTTTGCCATTGAGGACTGCTACAATTGTCATTATTAGTAAACACTTCATGGTTATGAACATAGCGACCAGTCAAAAGAGAACTTCTACTTGGACAACACATTGGAGTTGTTACATATGCATGTCGTAATTCAGCTCCATGATCTCTTATTCGTTTTAAGGTTTTTGGCATATAGTTTAATGAACCTAAAATAAAATATTAAGAATTTTAAAACTGTTTGAGGGTGTATGGGAACCTCCCACGTGACCTAGTATGGGAAAATGTGTTTTGGTAGTATACATCTTACTCTAAAATGAGAAAAGATTTTTGTCTGAAATTTTGAGGGATGATACATTAGGTTATAAGGAATCTCGCTGTTCTCCGAAAAATACATAATTTTCAGTTAAATTATTAAAAAATGAAGTTTAAAAAGTGACATTTTTAAACTAAAATGAAAACAAACATGGCGGCGCATACACAGACGTTGTGTGAATGTGTCAGTGCTCCAGGGAAAAGCGCCAATTCGAGCTAGCGGCCGCTGAATGAACTATGATAAAATACATTATTTTACTATTTATTGCTTTATTTTTATTATTTTCGCATTAAGTTATAGTAAATAAGTAGAACAGCGAGATTCCTTGTACCAAACAAAATCATTTCTCCAAAATTTTAACCCGTAATCATTTTTTATTTCAGAGAAAGTTTCAAACCACAAAAAACGTCCTTTGCCCACATACCCTTAAGGTAAAGTATATAACATCATAATTCAAAGAAATAGTTAAGGTGATCACTAGTTATTTAAATAGAACAAATATTTTATCAAATTAATATTTATAATAATTAAATTTAATCCAATAGTTGTAGCATAATTAATAATTCAAGATACACTGGAGACTAAAAAAAGCGTTGTAAAAGAAAAAAGAAGTAATAAGTACCTATTAATAGAGGATAAGTTAGTAAATATTACACATAATTAATTAATATGTCAGAGATATTGTAAATTTTACAAAATTTATATCTCAGAAAATATTGAGTTGATAGTGCAATTTCCGTTAATTCGATATTTTCTATACAAAAACTACAAGGAATAACCCACACAGCACAATATCTTGCTGTAAGCTTCCCTTGAGTTTAAACTTAAGATTCGTTAGCTTCCCAGATAGCACGCAAGTTTGCTGCCAACTTGCAGCCGACTTGCGTTGCAAGTTTTGCAAGTTTGCACTGCAAGTTTGTACTATAGCTGGGAGGTAAAAAAAATTTACTGCGCAGCCCTATGTGCTATAGAATTGAACTGCGCATTGTTTTTTTGTTTATTTAAAATATAGTTTTGCAAAATATAATGTAGTATTTGCAAACTTGCAGCAAACTTGCTTTGCAAGCTACGTTGGGACATTGCAAGCTTGCAGTGCAAACTTGCAAAACTTGCAACGCAAGTCGGCTGCAAGTTGGCAGCAAACTTGCGTGCTATCTGGGTTACAGCGTATACTTCAGGTGAGGTTAAGGTGAGATGCAAAATGTCCTCTTTACCGTAATCTGCAGTGTAAGATTGTAGTCAGTGTTTGATTGTAGTCATCAGCTTACAGTTAAGCTTACTATAACCTCACTGTAAGCATCGTGTAGTCTTAATGTAAGCTTCCATGTAAGATTACTGTAAGCCTGATGTAAACTTCCCTTCAGCTGAGACTACTGTTAATTAATATTAATAAATATTATTTATTAATATTATACTATTTTTTTCACACCAGATGATATATATTGTGATGTAGGATATACAACTCTAACGTGACTAGTTGATTAAAATCTTCTTAGCAGCCGTAAAAGCTATAATAAACTGCTGCGCATAAACAATTGTTTAATTTATTTATTTACATTTATTAATAATAATGTAAGATTACACGAAGCTTACATTAAGACTACACGAAGCTTACAGTAAGGTTATAGTATAAGCTTAACTGTAAGCTGACTACAATCTTACACTGCAGATTACGGTAAAGAGGACATTTTGCACTTCACCTTAACCTCACCTGAAGTTTACGCTGTAAGCTAACGAATCTTAAGTTTAAACTCAAGGGAAGCTTACAGCAAGCAGATATTGTGCTGTGTGGGAACCTACCAAGTTCAACATCTTGATCATCTGTTAGTATCAGAACAATATTTGGTTTCTTCTCCTTAGATTTGTGATAAAATAAATAATGTGAATTAAAATTGTTGTTATTGTTGTCATCGTAGTAGCTTTTGTCTACTGAATCGTTATGTTGCTTGTTAAAAGTATCCTCTGTAAGACTGTCAGTTATAATTAATACAACTTTAAGTAGTAATAAGAAGATCCATATATTATAATGTAAAGTAAACATCATTACTCTCCGTTTGAAATTTTTCAGACAATAAACTGTCACGTCAGGATTCTATCTGTAACAAAAAAATTATCTGAGACAATCTACATAGTACGGTGCACAAAAACACATGTTTTATTTACCGTGAATCTAAATATTTATATCAATACAAACATGGAATAAAATAAAATATAAAATTAAACAATTATTGAATTTAAATTAGGTTATTGTGTTTTCAATATTTTCTTTAACCCTTTGAGGACCAATGTTGCTTTCAGACAACATGAACATTTTTTTGCTATCTCATGTTATATCTTTAAGGTATAGCAAAATATTTGATAGATCGAGCTAAAATTTTGTGGAGATTTCAAAAATAGTATAAGGATTCGTTGTCATGTGCCAGATGAAATTAATATTTTGTCCAAGAAGACTAGAACCAGGAGGTGAAACTTCCACGCTTTACCGCAGTGAGTAGTGGCATGGTAAACGTGCACACGGTGGGCGTGTCGTTTAAGTTCGTGTACTGCTAATAGAACGAATTTACGAATTCTGCGCATACTAACCTTGTAGGTTTTGAAGGGGAAATTTCGTAGCAAGCAGCTGCAAATGTTTGCGTCTGCTTGGTTAGGTAAATTATATAATAATAAAATGCTTGGTCTGTCCTTCTGTCCTAACTTGAAGTTGGCCTTTTCTGATTTCACGTGTTTTTTTGAATAGTAATCTTATGACGTGTCAAATTTTGACAATTCTTTTTCTTATTTTTGCCAAAGTTGTATAATTGTGTTTCCAAATTTCGGAATAAGTTTCTTTAAAATTCCAAATTCGAAAATTCAATTCACAAAGCTGAAGTACACAACGTTTACCAACGAAATTTTTTTTAAAGTTGTATATATTGATTCAAAAATTGTATACAAATACAAAAAATTTTTGATGAGAAAAAAGATGCGCTAGGAAATTTCGTACAAGATAGTAATTTGAAAAAAATTTATTTTTAAGGTACCAGGGGCCAACGAATACCTATTAAATATTAATTATAAAAACACAGGCCTCGAATCAACTTAAAGACACAAAAAGTCGTTTTAGTCAATTTATATTCCAAAAAAAAGTGGATTTGTTTTTTATTTTAACAAAAATATTTTACAGAATTTTAAATAAAAATTTTTTTTTTAATAATAATTCTTTTCGAAGGGTTAAAGTTGAAATTTTTAGAAATAATTAAATTTCAAAAGATATTGTTAATTTTCAAACAATTATTAAATTTTACAGAACTAAAAATAATTTATCAAACAATTTTTTAAATTTAATTGAATTTTCAAAGATTTAAAATTGAGATTTTTAAAATTAATTGAAACTTTAAGTGTTTCGTAATTAAAATTTTAGATGATTTCACTAAAAATTTATTAGAAAATGAGGACAAAATACAATAATTTGAAAATCATTTTTAATTGAAAAATGGTTTCAGATAGTTGAATTTTCAAAGAATATTATTAAAATAGTTAAAAATAATTGAATTTCCTTAGACTTGTAATTGAAATTATTAAATTTCAAAAAAAAAAATTTTCCATGGAAAATTTTAGAAATAAATAAATTTTAGATGCTTTTAAATTCAAATTATTGAAAATTCAATTAATTTTGAATTCAAATTTTTGAGGATAATGAAATTTTATTTGATTTTAAATTTGGAAAATAATTTAATTTAAGTTCATTTTTGATTGAAAATTTGGATAATTAATTTTGAATAGAAATTTTAGAAAATAATTGAATTTTATTTCATTTTAAATTGAAAACTTGGTAAATAATTAAATTTTAAATTGAAAATTTTGGATAATTATTGGATTTTTAATTGATTTTGAATTAAAATTTTGGGTAATAATTGAATTTTAGTTTATTTTGAATTGAAATTTTTAAAAAATAATTCAATTTTATTGTGATTTTTTTTTTAAATTATAAACAATTGTTAAATTTCATAAAAATTTTAATTGAAAAATAATTTTGATATAATTGAATTTGTGATGTATTTCATTAAAATTATTAAAAATAATTAATGTAGTGAAGAATCATTTTAGTTTAAAATTTGTTAAATAATTTAATTGAAGAAGATATGATGAAGATCTACATTTTATACTAGAAAAATGTATTTTATTTACATTTTTTTCAAATGTTAAAAAAAATGTCGCATTTTATTAAAAGAAGTCGATAAAAGTCTTATTTTTGAAAAAAGTCAGAAAAAGTCGTATAATCCGAGGCTTGTAAACATATAATTTTCATTATTATCATTTAATATGTAATAATATTCTAATAAATTAAATTATTATTGATAATATTAATCTTTAATTTCTTTATAACAAACAATTAAACACTCAATTTGGCGCGCTTGCGCGCGTTTAATTTTGCTAGTTAAATATAATTAATTAAATATAATCGCATCAAAAAATTTATGGGTAAACCATTTGCCATAACCGCATAAACAGAAACTTAAAAACAGCGTCTGCTACATTTCAAATATCAGTGTCAAGAAAGTATGCGCAGAACACTCAAATTCGTCTGAATAGCAAAGCACGAACGATAAGCCACGCCTTCTAGTGGCTTGTTTTTCACGCCGCATCTTTACAACGGAGTTTCCCCTCCTGGTTCTAGTCTTCTTGATTTTGTCATAAAATTGATTCTCAAAAAATTGCTTATTTTTGAAAAGGACTAAAATCGTATTGTTGCCATATTGAATTTTTCTCAAATATGCAATTTTTTCCCGGCTGAAAAAACTTGTACAAGAAAATCTACAAGTTCTTGTACATGTTCATTAATGAACTTGTACATATTCTTGTACATGTTCATGTAATGTTCTTGAACAAGTTCAGCATCCGGAATTGAGACATGTTCTTGTACCAGTACTTGTGCAAGATCCTGGACAAGAAAATATACTTGTACAAGAAAATGTACATGTTCTTGTACATATTTTTTTGTGCAGGTTTCATGTAAATTTTCTTGTACCAGATGTGGAACATGTTCTTATACATGTTCATTTATGTTTTTTAAATTAAAAATTAAAAACTTTATAGACTGCGCAGTAGTTTTCTTAAGCCTTTACAGCTGCGCAATAATTTTTAGCATGCATAAGTGAAGAGTCTTAATAATTATAACTTATTAAAATTTCAAATTTTTTTCAAAAACATTTTTAAACAAATGTTCTTGTACAAGAACATAAACGTGTTCTTGTTAAAGTACTTGTACATGAAATCTGCACAAAAAATTTGTACAAGAACATGTACATTTTCTTGTACAAGTATATTTTCGTATCCATGATCTTATACAAGTTCTGGTACAAGAACATGTCTCAATTCCGGATGCTGAACTTGTTCAAGAACATTACTTGAACATGTACAAGAAAATGTACAAGTTCATTAATGAACATGTACAAGAACTTGTACATTTTCTTGTACAAGTTTTTTCAGCCGGGTTAATAAAATATTAATATTCTGGGACATAACAGCAATTTCTTATAAGGATTTTTAAGTTCTCTACGAAATTTTAGCTCGATGTATCAAATATTTTGCGAGAAAATCTGCGGAGAATATTTACATATGAAATCACAAAAATCACATAACCTTAAGTTCGAGTTCTACTAGGTAACATTCCGAGTCAGGTTTATTAGTTATTTAAACCTGAATCGGAGTGATTGTTCAATTCATGTTTCATATTTTAACTAAGGTGATCGAGTGATAAATTAAATTATTTATTATTAATAAATTTAATTTAATTAAATTAAAATTTTTTTTATCTGCATATATTCTAAGAATTATCCGGAACCTAGGAGCTTTTTTCCTTGTATCTGAATATGTAGAATACAGATATCTGAACCATCAACAGCCAATGGATATTCTGAATATCCGGTTGCTATTAGAGTGCTATTAATTGTTTTGGGTTGCGATCCTTCCTTCCCTAACATCATTTGGATATTCACGATATTCTACGGATGTTCTAGAGATATCCAGAGGCCCTTGGAAATTAGAATATGTATAAGATGTATTTATTGTATGTATATGTATATGTATATGTATATATTAAGTTTCTCACAAGTGCAGAAAAATTTGTCTATTTAGTATATAAAGAAGTTCAGAATTTCTCATTTCAGCGTGAATTACACAGTCACACAAAAAAATAAGTTTTGATCTGGGGGTCTGACTATGCCTACTTTATGTTTTTTGGGTCGCTGAATCCGAATTCGAGGTCCGTTTTACCCCATAAGATCAGGATTTTGTGATAACCTTAAAAAACCAATATGGCGGACACTTTTTCGAAAAATTCATCGGAATCGCCTGAAACTCGTTACTCGGGGGTTTTTGGAGTCGCTGATTACGAATTTGAAGTCAGTTTTCAAAAATTCAAGATGGCATCGTAACAAATTTCTTAAGTGTATCTGCCATGACGGCATTTTTCGAAAAAGTGTTCGCCATCTTGAATTTTTGAAAACTAACTTCAAATTCGTAATCAGCGACTTCAAAAACCCCCGAATAAAGAGTTTCAAACAAATCCGATGAATTTTTCGAAAAAGTGTCCGCCATATTGGTTTTTTGAGGTTATCTCAAAATCCTGATCTGATGGGGTAAAACGGACCTCGAATTCGGATTCAGCGACCCAAAAAACATAAAGTAAGCATAGTCAGACCCCCAGATCATTATCTTCTGCATTTATGTATGCGTATTGTAGTTAGGATGTATTAGGAATAATTTTAAGCCAATCATAGCGTATCAGTTATGTGTGTGTATTAAGAAAGACTCCCACTACCCTCGAATAGAAAAGGAGAGAAAATCTTAGAAAAGAGCCATTGGTGGTTCAGACGTTCTTCTTTTTTTCACGGCTCCTGCTTTTTCGTATAGTTTTAGCAAATTACAAAATGTTGATTCTTGTTTTTCGTATAAATTTAGTAAATAACAAAATGCTAGACTGTTTACTTCCTATACTTTTTTTTCCATAGTTTTTTCAATATTCGAAAATTGTAGATTTGAATTAAGAAATAATAATTTCAGTTTTCCTAAAATGTTTCCAGTTAAAGGAATTCGTAAAACTATACCAACTTTTATTATCAAACCAGAATTGTTCGCAATTGAAAAACAAAAATATCAAAATTTCTATTCAGATTTATTAAATATTCTAACAAGATTTCTTTCCGTGTTGAATCCGAATAATCAGGATATTCTACGAACATCCATTGGTTGTAGGATATCAATAGATATTCCAAGGATATCGTAGTGATATTCGAATCGCCGAAAATTTATAGACATCCTTAAGATGTTTGTAGAACATCACATCCTCATAACAACTGATATCCATTGCTTTCTGCAAATTATGATATCCCTAAGATGACTGCAGAATATTCACGGATATCTCTAAAAGATTCTAATTTTTAAGAACAACAGAATATCCCTAGGATTTCCTGAATATCCTAATTTCATTAAGCTAACATTCTGATTTTCAGGATATTATGCAAACATCCTGAAGATTTTCATTGGCTTTTAGCAGTTCGGATATCCTGAAGACATCCTACAAATATTCAAACTTTTGAAAACCAATAAATATCCATAAATAAATAATTTTAATAAATTATTATTTAAATATCTAATTATTTAAAAATTTTTTTATTTTCAATAATTATTTTTTTGTAATTAATAAATTATCTAATTTGTAATTCTTTACCTCAATTGCTGTTAAATTTTTTGTTAATTTTTTTTTATTAATTCTAAATTGGAATACTAAGTATAATATTTATTAGACAAAATTATTTTGTTTTATTGCAATTTTAATTATTTAATTATAAAAATAAACCAACTTAAAAACCGGCATTTACAATTATTAAATGAATTTAGACAATAATCGAAAAATGAATTTAACTTCGAAGTGAATTATAGATTGATAAACATTATTGCGCGCTTCCACTAAAAAAACACGCGTCAAATGTCAAAACATAAAACGAAGAGAAGAAATAATAAAAATAAAAATGCATTCCTTTTAAAATTTATTTCTCAAAAAAAAAATTATATCTTTTTTTTTTGAATTTATTACCATAATATAAATTTTGTGTTTAAATTAAAATTCAATAATAAAATTTTTCTTACTAGCCTAAAAGAATATATTGAAAACAATATTATTATTAAATAAATGCCAATTTTCTTAAATATTTAAAATTGAATATATAAAAATATTACAAAATAATTTATTCATCATCATATTTATAATAAAAGTATTATATAATTTCTTTTGTAAATAATATTCTTCAAATTTGTACTTTAAAAAAAATGAAAAGAATAAATTTTCTTTTAGTACATTGTGCTAATTTTGTAACAAAATATTTATTCAGATCAATGATGAAGGTTTATTATGAAAAGCATAACCTATAATAAATAAATATTTTATTGTAATTATTGTCAATAACTATATACTTACCTGATTTTTATGTAATAAATAATAACTGTTTATATACTACAAACCTGTTCGAATTTCTAAAAAAATAAAATCTTACTTTAGAGATCAAGACTTTTCTGGTAGTATAGAAGATACTTTTCAATTTTTGTATCATATAAAACTCCTGAAATTGAAAAGGTTTAAATATTCACTTAATATTTGTAAAAAAATTTATGCATCTTAATAATTATTGTAGTAGTAACTATATTAAATATAAAATTATATCCATGGCAATTAATAACTGCTCAGGTATCATATAAACATACCAACAATCTTAAATGTATATAGATTATTCCTCTTTCTAATACAACAAGCCGGTATGGATTATATTTAAATATATTGAAATCTTTAAGATTTTATGTCAGATAATCACTTAATTGGTTATAGACCTAAGGAAAATAATGCTTTAAGTATTGAAAGTATAAAAACTGAAATTTCACTTCTTAATTTAACACAATTTACTAAATACACGTGGTGAACTAGTTTTTATTACAGCAGGTAAAGCGTTGCGACCCCACCGATGGTCGCAACGAAACTGAATAGTGAATGCATAGGGAATACTGATTCTAATACATATATATATATATTTCCAAAAGAATAAACGATGCTTCCACGCTGACGACAGTTGCTCTTGCGCACAAAAGAATGCGCGGAAAGTATGATACAAACTGAATGACAAAATTTTAGTCCGAACATATAGCATATATATATATAATGCCCAAATAATTTGCTATAATTGGAAGTTAATCAAAAATACATTATTCGTACATCTATCTTCTTAATAAATATTACAAATTGAGGAGAGCAAAATTTCATACTTCATTCTTACTAGTCATTTATTCGAAATAAAAATTCACTAATAGAAAGTGTAAATTGAAAATATAATTTAAAATGATTTTAAAATTTAGATGAAATTTATATTCATTTTGATTAACAACTTTGTAGTTCTTGACTTTTTTTTAAAACTTATTGAAAGTTTATAGTTTAAATTTAAATAAGTATTAATAAATTGTTAACAAAGTAAATTAGAAGTCTTGAAAAAGAAATATACTGCAAAAATAGGTATCTTCTTGGTATCTTAAAACAAGATGTTAAGATGGAATGCTATCTTCAATTCGCTTCCATTTTAGAATAAGATGTTAATTTTAATATTAAGATACTTTATTCCTATTATAACATCTTAAAATAAGACACTTTAAATAACTAAAAAGATACTACCAAAACATCTTATATTAAGACACTTCTTTTTGCAGTGTATAAATTATTTATAATATCTGTATAGAAAATTCTAAATAATCGGATAATGTGAGTTTATTGAATTGAACAAATCATCCTATCGCATTTGTTTCTATAAAAAAGGCGGAATAATATTTACCTATAGTTACAAAGGTAACAAATAGATGTAATTTAAAAAAAATAAAATAAAATTGTGGTTTCTTACAGAAACAATTGACATGTGTATAGATTTCTTTGATAACGCTGCAGAAATTGCCATATTATATTGTAGACACAAATTTTTTTTTTCATTGTACACCTATTTTCATTTTTAGGGTTCTCGTTCTCGGTTCGGAACCCTATTAATATAGGTTTTTTTGAAATCGTGTACCCCCCCCCCCCCCCGAGCAGACACATCTTTTGATATAGAGAGCTCAAATATTTCAACCCAGACAGTTCATATTTAGTATATAAATATGTATTTTTACGTGAAAAATATGGGGAAAAAAACCTGTCACCATTGGAGTTGATGATTAACTTTTTATCAAATTTTTCAAGAAAAAATGACAATTTTAGAATGAAAAATGTATTTTTTTACCTAAAACGAAGAAAATTTTATATAAAGGAATTCCTTTATTGAAAAACCCTGTACAAGATCTTGTACAAGAAAATGTACATGTTCGCAGCAGCTGAACTTGTACCTGTTCTGGTAAGAACATGTACAAGATCTTGTACAATTTCCGCACCAGAATTTGGAACAAGTTCTTGTATTAAAACTTGTACAAGATCTTGTACAAGTAAATATATTTATTATTTATATATACAAGAAAATGTAGATTTTCTTTTACAAGTTCATTAAAAAAAAATTTTTTTTTTTTTTTAAATTTGAGATTTTAATAATTTAGAATATATTAAAACCTTTTACTCAAGCATGCCAAAAATTATTGCGCAGCTGTAAAGTCCTAAGAAAACTACTGCGCAGCCTTTAAAGTTTTTAATTTTTACTAAACGAAGACATAAATGAACCTGTACGAGAAAATGTACATGTTCTTGTACATTTTCTTGTATACAAATATTAAAAATATTTTTGTACACGATCTTGTGCAAGATCTTGTACAAGTTTTAATACAAGAACTTGTTCCAAATTCTGGTGCGGAAATTGTACAAGATCTTGTACATGTTCTTACCAGAACAGGTACAAGTTCAGCTGCTGAACATGTACATTTTCTTGTACAAGATCTTGTACAGGGATTTTCAATAGGGTCAAATTTATATATTTTGTGACGTATTTTTACGTGTAGATTACAAAAAAAATATAGCGAACATGATTGGAGTTGATTATCATAGCGTTGTCAAGGAAAAACCATGAATTTTTACGAAAAATACCTAAAAATGAGTATGTACCCCCCCCCCTAGCGGCCACATCTTTTGACATAAAGAGCTCAAATTTGACACACTTACGTATTTTTACGTGAAAATTACAGGAAAATTATAGCGAAGTTCATTCAGATCGATTTACATATAGCGTTTTGTTTAGTGACAAACAAATTGTTTCTATCGCATATGGTTTTGTTGATATTCAAAATTGAAAAGTGTCCTACTACTTTCTGGTTTACCCTGTTATAGTAAATTTTCAATTTCTTGAATGTAAATAAAATTTCAAAAATGCAGGATTCTTGTTATTTTTCAAAGTTTACGATAACTGTCTGATTTGCTAAAAAAAAATTCTTTTTAAAATTAAGTACATACGAATTGACGGCCATTTTTACAACGTGCTACTGCGGAACACCGTTAAATGATCATAGCGAGTGTTTATACAAATTGCATACAAGTTAGGTGATTTTCTGAACATATGCTCTCATGTAAATTGTTTTTCGAATGGGTCAAGCAATCTGTTTTAAACGTATACTAAACATTGTAATAAATATTAAAATGGTAAATAAATAAATTAATTGATATATCTATTTCCCCAAATTGTATATCCATAAAAAATTCAGCATGCACAAAGTGATCATACTTTACAAAAACACGTTTATTTATTATATTTCATTAATAAAACTTTATAGTAAAGTCAGTTTAAATTGTGAAACTTCTCAGTCCATCAATATTTCTTTCAAATAAAAGAAGAAAATTATTTTTTTCAGCATTAAATATAGTGAAATTTTTAGTCGTCTTCTAATTGGGACATTTACCTTATTTGAACATTTTCCGCTATATACACATTTGTAACGATGATGCCTTTCACGGATGAACTTGTCGCACTCATATGAACAAGTTCATCCGCGAAAGGCATCGCTGCATGAACTAGTGTAAGTTTCAATACAAACATAAATTATATATCTTAAATACTTAAGATGCCTTTTCAATAAATTCAATATGTATTCTATAAATTCTTTAGTCCATTTATCACTGGAATTGGTTTACCAATAAAAATAGTTGTACTCAGGAGAGGTTTTTTTTTTAAATTTCACCCTCTTCTCAGCCAAGAAAACCTATTGGGTATAATCAACGCAAATGAGAGTATTCCTAGTTTAAGGCAATCTGTAATGACATTAGATAATTAAGTTTCTACACGAAAAACTCTTTAAAAAACAAACAATAATAATCTAATAATTCAGGATATATTCAGATGCTGTTAGGGTAATTTTGACTCGGATAGAATTATATTGCGAGGGGAGGTTCCTATTGCGGAAGTCAATAAAAGAATCGATTTTTTTTATTGCGCCGAGATCGTAAATCGTCCGCCATATTGAATTTTGAAAATCTGACATCATATTCGTGACCCTAAAAACACCCGAGTAACGAATTTCAGGCAAATTTAATCAATTTTTTTAAAAGTAAACAAATATTACACATAATTAATGTTTCAAAAATTTTAAACGTGTTTTTCTCGAAACAAGATTTTTCAAACTGGTGGGCATCGTAGCGTCTAAACTATTTAATCAATCAACTTCGGGTTTGCGGCTAATTAAAGGTAACTAAATTTTGCTGGGGTTATACCTATAATATATGTTACAATTGTCAACAATGAAGATTTTTTACAACAGGTCAAACATGAAAAAATAAGGCAAAAAATGAAGTGTTTTAAAAAAGTGGCCGCCATTTTGTCATTTGTTTAACTTTTTACTATTTTATAAGTTTAACCTATTCTTTAAGATGTCACCTTTCTAAAAAATTTTGAGTTTTTGTTTTAGACTCAAAATTGCGCAGTGTAAAATGCCCACCGTTTTCCCTATGTAAAAAAACATTGTTTACTAAGTGCGCCATATTGGCCGCCATTTTAAAATTTTTTGAAAATGAAATATGTTTTAAAAGTTTAAGGACGTACCTTTATTTAAAAAAAAAACTACATCACTAACCCCCACAGCACCGAAAATTTCCTAAAGATTTATTTGCAAACTTCGGAAACTTTAATTGCAAAGTTTAGAGAAAATTGTATAAAGATTTAAATGTCCAAAATGAATAAATGTTTGGCGTAAAACTTGATGGAAGATTTAAATTAAATTTTCCAGAAATTTTCGAGGCGAAAATTAAGTGAAGATTTAAATTAAAGTTTCGTGAAATGTTTGGCGTAAAAGTTGACTAAAAATTTAAATTAAATATTTATTAAAAATTTATACCGAAAGTTGAGTGAAAATGTAATTTAAATATTCAGTCAATTTTTGTGATGAACATTTCCTAAAAATTTAAATTAAATTTTCGGAAAAGGTTGGACGAAAATATTTGTAAAAAATACAAAAATAATATTTAAGAAGTATTAATATTATTATTAATATTAATAATAATAATAGATAGATCTTTATTATTATTATTATTATTATTATTATTATCAATAAAAAAAATTTACTATCTGGGATTAAAAATAAAATAAATAATATACAAACATTGTTGCTCTGCTTTGATTCACATTGAATCAAGCACTGCATGCTTGTTGAGCAAGAACTTTTGAAAACAAATTATAGGGTGCTGGGGATTGAACCTACATTCGCCGCGCGCTAGCTAAAGACCATAACCACTACACTACAGATATCTGACTGAAAAAAAAAATCTTCCACACACTCTACAACTTTATATTATCGACTTTTGAGTCGATAAGTAGGATCACTTGTCTATCAGTAAGTTGTAGAGTGTGTGGAAGATTTTTTTTTTCAGCCAGATATCTGTAGTGTAGTGGTTAGGGTCTTTAGCTAGCGCGCGGCGAATGTAGGTTCAATCCCCAGCACCCCATAATTTGTTTTCAAAAGTTCTTGCTCAACAAGCATGCAGTGCTTGATTCAATGTGAATCAAAGCAGAGCAACAATGTTTGTATATTATTTATTTTATTTTTAATCCCAGATAGTAAATTTTTTTTATTGATAATAATAATAATAATAATAATAAAGATCTATCTATCTATTATTATTAATATTAATAATAATATTAATACTTCTTAAATATTATTTTTGTATTTTATACAAATATTTTCGTCCAACCTTTTCTGAAAATTTAATTTAAATTTTTAGGAAATGTTCATCACAAAAATTGACTGAATATTTAAATTACATTTTCACTCAACTTTCGGTATAAATTTTTAATAAATATTTAATTTAAATTTTTAGTTAACTTTTACGCCAAAATTTAATTTAAATCTTACGTCAAGTTTTACGCCAAACATTTATTCATTTTGGACATTTAAATCTTTATACAATTTTCTCTAAACTTTGCAATTAAAGTTTCCGAAGTTTGCAAATAAATCTTTAGGAAATTTTCGGTGCTGTGGGGGAAGTCATAACCATTCCCCGTAAAAAATTGTCAAAGTTTGTGTTGATTTTGGCCACTGCAATGGGAACTTCCCCTTAGTAAACTTAAAATTTTTAATATAGAAAAAAATTCAAATAATCCTCACAGCAACGTATATTTCAGGATATTCAGTGGACATTCTAGGGATATCATTTGATTTGAGAAAATTAAGATGTCCGTGGATGTCCTAATTTCTCCGGGCAAAATAATATCTTTAGAATGTCCGCAGGACCACTTGAATATTCGGATGCTGTTACAGAAAAAACGTTTAATAGAAATGATCCATATTAAGAGAATAAAAAATAAAGTCATTTTATTATTAAGCATTTTTTGTTTATAACGATTTTAGGAACAAAATTCTCATGAATGAAAAATTGATTTATAAAAAGTTTCTGATAGAATCGAATTTAATTTGCAGATGAATTCCATTGTTAGTTTCTTTAAATTATGGTTGGTTTCATCTTGGAACTAAAAACTTTAACTTAACTCAAAAAAATTAAAAAGTGTGATAAAACTGCTTTTTAGGATAAACAAAAAACAGATGTCAAACATTTTTTAAAAAACTACTTTTATTACTTCCGTAGTGTTACTTCCGGGATTGCCTTAGTCAGAATTCGCAGTTACTTATTCTTTTTTAAGTTTTTTTTTAAAATAAAAATGAGATTTTTTATAAATAATAACAACAAAAATCTATTAATTTATGCTTTCTATAATAATTTTATTTACTTGAAAATAATCGTGATTCGTCATAAATCGCACTACAGAAAGTTTCTTTCAATTCTTTATTACAATTTCAAGATTTAAGGAAAGTAATATTAATACAATATAATTACATTGATTCCACATATTGATTTTATACATTTTGTGATGCTCTAAACATTTTGTCTACTATTAAAGATTTAAGAAAGCCTATTTACATTTACATATTAGTATATCTTATAACAGAATAGTCAATATTTCTTTTTATTCTCGTACAGACATCAATACAGTAAAATAGGACATAGATGTTTGGAGAACCTTTAATAAATTGCATAATAATTAACAATATTGATAATTCAATTGAAATCATTTATTGATAGCAATTTTTAAAAATTGAAAAATCAGTATCCGCATTTGGAATTTAAGCATTACGCGAATACAAATTCTTGACAACTATTTAATTTTCACACATTAATAATTTTTTCTCCCGAAATAAAAAATTAACTAAACAGAGTAACAAAGAAAAACTTTTATAAACTAAATTAATTGAGTTTGGACTCGGTTATCGGACATAATAATAATATTATTTATTATATCTGTGTACTGAAATAGTTCAGACAAGCCACGGCAGTGAAGATTGGCGCAGTATAGAGTTTTTGTATCCCCATAGTATTCAAACAACTCAATCTCAGCACGAAAACTTGCAGGAAGCTTGCCGTGCAAGATTGCAGACAAATATGTAGCAAGTTTGGTGCAAGCAACAAAATGTCTTACCAAGTATTTAATTCTAACAAAAATTTTATATTTTCCTAAAGACTTAATAAAAGTATTGTACACATTATTTTTTATTATTGTATGGGTAATTCTACAAAATTTAATTATTGATGTTTAATGACTTAACACCAATCGTCCGATAACCGGCCTCTCTATACTCTAACATTTACTTTTTAAATTCCAAATTGATACGCTTTGTCTGCTTACATTTTTTTCAATGTACATTTTTAAACTTTGCGACTTTCACTACGAATTAATTAATTAAAATAATTTCATACCTTTGTAAAAAATTGTAATGAAAGTACGAATACTTTGCCAACGACAAATGTAGTAGGTTCAGATCCTTTTCTCATTATTATGATTAACAATTGTTTTGTTTCACTTGTCAAATGGTACCAATCTGCATTGTATCTAACAAAATCAATCATTAATTATAAAATATCGAAATTTTATAACATTAAAGTATTTCTTTACAAGTAATTCACTGGAAGATAGAAGATGCCTGACGATCTTCTAAAGTATACACTTTATAAGTCTAAATTCAAAATTTGAAATCATTTCATTCATGAATATATATTATAAAGATTTTGATTATGCACAAGCCGTCAATTGTTCACATTTCGATAAATTTACATAAAATATAGTGAAATTTTACTTACTTCCTAGTAACTTTATAGTAATGCTTTTAGTGAGTTAAGGCCTAAGCAGAATAGGTTCGCAAACTTGAAACATGAGTTAGAAAAAGACAGAGAACCTATTGTGCGTTGGCCATTACTAGAAAGTAACTAAATTTCATTAAATTTTATTTAGGGCCAACACATAGATTCGAAAAAAATGTTTGCGAATGAGATGTAGAAGATAGAAAAGGACAAAAATGTATATCTGTCCTTTTCTAACTTATGCTTAATAATTGAGAACAACTTTTGCGAATTTATTCTGTGTTGTTCCTTAAATTCAACAAAGTGTGAGCGATAGATTTCTAGTAAAGGCCTGCACTATGCTTGTTTTATGAGGTATTACTGCGATTTTAAATTATGTACTACAAAGCTAGAACACTTGTAAAAGATAAATTAATGTTTTGATTTTCTTCAGAAAGAGAGTTGTACATTGAGGTAGAAAGACTAAGGCTGCTATCCAGTAAATGTTGAGTTGGTAGAGTTAAACAGAAAATATTAAACACTTGAAATATTACGTAACATCCAAACCTGCATGCATCCCCAGAATTTTTCAAACTCATCACACACTAAATCACAGAATAAGATTAGACCCAATAGTGCAAAAAAACCATGTTCGTTCTAAAAATGTTTTAAGAACGTTTTTGAAACGAACATGGTTTTTTACCCATTTCGGAGCTTACCCTGTTGAATAAAATGTTTGTAACTACGTGCTTAAATACGATTACAATTATAAAGTTGAACCATAGAATGTCGATTGATTTTAATGTCGACAGTCGTTGTTTTACTATTTTCTTTTTCACACCAACATGTCGACTTGGTCTACAATTTATATTATTATCGTACTTTCCCAATTGTTATTGTAATCGTAATTATGACCCTAATATGCTATAAATTTGAAACAAAATTTACACTTAAATATTTATTATATTTTCCCACATTTTCAACCGTAAATTTGTGCAAAATTAAGACCATAAATCATGTTACAAATTTTGCAACTATTTTTAGCATTGAGATTATATTTGTAGTCGTATTTACATACGTAATTACAATCTTTTTTCAATAGAATACTCTTATATTTTTTTAATAATACAGTTAATGAATTAAAAAATTTATTTTTAGCAATATATGACATTTACTTGGACTCCCGTGACGCTTAACAAAATTGCACTAAGCCCAAAGAAAAGAAGAAACGAAGTTGAAAAAGCATTCTGAATATCATTGATAAATCTCGAAAAGTAAAATATTTTAATTAATATAACTCAAGTAGTTTCCCAGTGGGAAATTTACCATTGGCAAAATAGTGGCCCAATATTGCTGGCAGCATTGGCCCAATATTAGACCATCATTGGTCCTATAATGGCCCAATAGTTACCATTAGCAATTTCCCACTGGGTTGATATTCCTTTGGATGAAATTATCAATGTGATTTGAAATATTTAATTTTAATATGAATAATTGAGTACACGGAAAATTTGTGTTTGTAATTTAGAATATCAATCATGAAAATTTTGTCCGATAGAATATGTTGTCCCTCACACAGTATCGAATCCTTACTGAACATTTATTAATGGTTTAAGTCCAAACTACGGAATATTTAGTTGCAATGTTTAGGAAAGACCGAATAAATGTTAAAATGTCCATCACTGACGATGGTGATATTTGTGTAATAGAGAAGACTTTTATGGTGAGCGGCACTCGTACTCGTATCGTGCGTAGCACCAGATGGAACAAAATGCAGTTCACATCAGTTACATTTGGGGTCCGGGTCTTCGGATGAGTCGCACTTAGAGCAGATAACATGCGTTTTTTAGCGTCGCACGATTGTTATTTGGAAATAAGTATTGGGCGCGGAAAGTTGAATGAACATTTACAATAAATGTTTGTCAGAAAAAATAACTTTATACGCTAAACATTTAACTAGCATTTATTTTAAATATTCAGTACAACTTAGCCCTAAACATTTAATATAAATGTTCATTCAACTATCCGCGCCCAACATTTAACGAATATGTAATTTACTTGTTCAGTTAACTTTCGCTTTATAAACATTTAATCATGGCGGACATTTTAATATTTATTCATAATCTTTACTAAACTTTGCAACTAAATATTCGATAGTTTAGACTTAAACCTTTAATAAATGTTCAGTAAAGTTTCAGTGCTGCGTGGGCCACTCTGTCAAAGCAAGAAAGTCTTCTAAAATGTGCCATGAAATATATCAATATAAATTCTACCTGCTTCCTAATTCCACTGTTAAACACATTTTAGAAAAATTTCTTGATTATATTTTTAACACAAATTATTTCCGTGTATAGTACTTTTTGTTATACAAACAATAGAACTTTTCTGTGCATTGCCACACAAAGTTTAATTTCTTGATGGAGCTTTTTTCGAGAACTAATTTTATTAATAGAAGCAGGATATTCTTTTATGGCAGTAGTCAATTTTTGCCTGTAAACAATAAATATATAGCAAACTTATTTAATACGGACAAATTTCATTGACTTTAGGCGGTCTACTTGTGTGATCTTCAAAGCTCGACTCGCTTTTCAGGAAGGTTGCATTACATGAGTTGAGGCCGCATGAATTAAAATTCATAATTGAAGGAAATTAAGGACAAATTGTACACATAAAGGCATTCAATTCACATAAATAATCTTCTGATAGTAAATTTGTTGTCAGTTTTTCAAAATTCAAAATAAAGGATTCAAGATGGCAGAAGATTTTTGAAAAATTGATCGACTACGCTTGAAATTTGTTGCTTAATAGTTTGTAGGGTAACTAATTACAAAACTTAATGTCATATTTGAAATCAGCGATACTGAAAACCCCTAGGTGAAGAGTTTTAAATAAATCCGATGTATTTGAAAATAGGTTACTATATTAGATCCACCATTTTTAATTTTTGAAAAACTAATGTCAAATTTGTAATGAACGACCTCAAAAACCCCTGCGTTACAGAATTTCAAGCGAATCCGATAAATTTAAAAAAATTTTACATATTGGATCCGCTATATTATTATGAATTATTTATTTTATCATATTTCATTAATTTACAACAATATTTTGCTTCTGACCAAACTGGACAAAAAAATGTCAAATTCACTATCATATAATTTTATTATTTTATGGGTGAGAAATATTAAAGATAAATTAATTTTTTGAAATATTCACACAGGTAGGCCTCCTTGAGATTATTAAAATAATTAATAATTTTTTTACACTTTTTTTCTAAATTACGCCCCAGTGGGCAAAAACCCATCTTCGTTCTGAATACGTTTTTAGAACGTTTTTTATGTCCGTCAAATAATGTTTTGAAACATTTTAAGAACATGGATGTTCAAATAATGTTCCAGAATATTTGTTGGCTGACATGAAACGTTCTAAAAACGTTTTAACAACGTTTTTTTGGAACGAACATGGTTTTTTGCCCACTGGTATATGGTATTTAGGTAATGGTAGGTTGTGTATTATTCTAATATTACATTTGCACAGATTTACACCCTGTTGAAAATTCCTATGTGAGAACACAAATGGGATCCCATCCAGGATCTCTTGTGAGTTCTTATGTGGGTTCCCGTACAGGTTCACACATAAGATCCTGTATGAAAAGGTTCCTGGGATGAACTTGCGTGAGATCAAGCGCACGATCTTATGTCTCTGTAAAAGCAATAACACAGGATCCCATGAGGTTTCCTGTGTAGGTTCCTATATGAACAACACGATAAATAGGAACACACATGGGATCTTATCCGAGATCTTGTATGAGTTCTTACATAGGTTCTCACATATAAGAAGATTAATAGCATATATATAAAAGCATTCTATAAAATCTTATTAAGCTGCTATTAATCTTCTTATATGTGAGAACCTATGTAAGAACTCATACAAGATCTCGGATAAGATCCCATGTGTGTTCCTATTTATCGTGTTGTTCATATAGGAACCTACACAGGAAACCTCATGGGATCCTGTGTTATTGCTTTTACAGAGACATAAGATCGTGCGCTTGATCTCACGCAAGTTCATCCCAGGAACCTTTTCATACAGGATCTTATGTGTGAACCTGTATGGGAACCCACATAAGAACTCACAAGAGATCCTGGATGGGATCCCATATGTGTTCTCACATAGGAATTTTCAACAGGGCATAGATCGATACCTGAAGGTAAAGATCCCAATTATACATTTTAGCGTTAAAATAAGGTAAATGTACACAATTACGGCATGTTAAGGCCCTTCCTGAGAATTTTATTTTTCTTATTTTATCAAGTAACTTAAAATTTAAGAAAACAATTGTATTGTAAAAATTAATCAATCATTTTCAATTTTTCATTTTATATATCTGTTCAAAAACTAAATTTATATTATTTTTTAATATATGTTAAATCCTTTCAATTGTATGTAATTCCGTTTTAAAAATATTGTCATGTAACTAATTCCGTTCCAACTTGTCCATAATTGCGGCATATTCCAGGTTTTCACACATACTTATATATAAAATATCAATTTGTTTGATAATAATTATTCTTATAAGAATATTAATAACATAATCTTAAAATTAGTTTAAGATTGTGTTTAAAAGGGAATTTTTTACACAGATGTCAAATAAAATAATGTTTATTCAAATGATAATTTTTGTAATATTCAGTCATTATTTTTCTTCTTTGGTTACTCGCTTTGGTCATTAACTTGTTTTGAAATAATATTATAAATCATTAAACATATATAATTTACGGTCATCAAATAATACTAGAGGATTCAGTTTTTTTAAAACATCTTGAGCATCGTAGATGAGGATATCGTCTCTATCAAGCCAGCGCCAGTTTGTCCCACTCATTTGATTAATTTTTAATTGATATTTTTTCACATTTTGCTTGAATTATTTTCGTAACAATACCTAATAATTCTTATAAAAAACGATACTTTTAAAAATTTGCCTCTTGAAATGATAATTAATAAGTTTAAAATTAAAGAATTGTGAACAAACTCTTTTTCCATTTTACTTAAACTTAAATACGGCGTATAGCACGGAATAATGAATGTATGTATAAAATGTTTTGAACCTAATTCCGTTCATATAATTTCTAATAAAATATTTCAAATATGGTTAATAAAATACTAGTACGCAATTACCTCATTTGTTTATTTATAATTTCATTTTTTGTTAAAAAATGTAAACACATTTAATATTCTTATTAGATTCATTAAAATAAGTATAATATAAAACAATGTAATTCCCTATTTACGTGTTTCAAACGGAATAATGTACTTCGTGTGAGAAGAGCGAACATAATTCCGTCTACTTAAAAAAGTATTTTTATATAAAGAAAACTTTTAAAAATAATTCAGCAATAGAAAGTATAATTTAAATAGATCATAATTAATCAACAAATTAAAAAATAAATTAAAAAATAAACACACTTCACTTTTAATATCCTTACGAAGATCACCTTCAGTCTTAGCTGTCACTTACAGTATATTGTATTGCACAAAGCTCAGTCGTCGACTGACTGACAAAAACTTTTATTTTCAATACATAAACAAAATAGATGTAATTAAAACACAGAATATTGATCTAATAAATAGCAAAGTTTGTGTTGCAATTTTTCACTTGTTGAAACATTTTATCAATTTCTTATTTTAATTAGTATAAAGAAATAGCACGTAATAACGTACTAGGCCGTAATTGTGTACGTTTACCTTATTAGCTAAAAATACCCTATTGAAATTTTTTAAATAGTTTTCCACCTGAGTACTTAAGGCAATATACATCAGTGAATTTGATGTATTATCTAGAAAGTGTTCTATATAGTTTGCAACGTAGTGTACCATAAAGAAAAATACATAATTCTGATGGATAAATCCTATAAGTTATCTTTCAAGGCTTCCTATCCTATATGGTTTAATTTAAGAAACTGAAGTACTAAACTATATATAGGAATTTTCGACAGTGTGTATGTGTATAAGTGGAAAAAACCAAAACTATTTTAAACAAAACTTATTTATCGAATCTTACTACATTTATAAAATGATTTTAAAAATGACTCATTGAAATAAAGAAAATATTTAATTTAAAACGTTATTTTTTAATAACTATTTAATACTGAAAAAATTTAAATAAATTGATTATTTGGAACAATTGTTATATCAATGAACCTTCACAGTACTGGATATTTTGGAATCCATTACGGATGAATACGTTGTCAAATAGTGCGACTACATCTTCAAGAATTGAAAATTAAATGTTCTTTACAAAAATTCAACATAGGTATTATTATTTCATCTTTCCTTACCATTTCACCAAAAAAACCAACGTTTAGTACGTTGTATGTCTGCCAAATAATGTTCTAGAACATTATTTGAACTTCTATGTTCTTAAAATTTTTCAGAACATTATTTGGCAGATATGAAACGTTCTAAAAATGTTTTTAAAACGAATGGTTTTTTGCCCACTACACTTACTTAATATGTAATAATATTATAGTCGTTATATATTTCAAGTAATTAATAAACGAATTTTATTTGAATAGTGTTGGCTTTCGTCTGGTCTGCTTGTGTACACCTGATTTTTCAGCAGAAGTCCAATAGTAAGTATAATGTTATTTGTCGTCCAGTCTCACAAAAACGTGGTAAGCATCGCCCCGAAATATTAGGCGAAGGTTCCCCCTTTTGTGTAGAATTTGGCAATAAAGTAGTGAATAGCGTGGACATACAATTAATTCTTTAAATTAATATCCACCGTTATAATTGGCATCCCTTGTGGGGAATCTTTTTTTTGTCGAGACGTTTTTGAGACTGGAAAACCATTATTATTGATGATTTTGTCGAGAGGAATATTTGTTCTTCCTAGTGTCTTGTTAATGATTTCATGAGAGGTAATGGAGTGTGTGACGTATTTGACGGAAGTGACGACACAGCGTCGAGAGTTTGGTGCGAGAAAGTGCGAAATTTCTCATTATTTCTGGATTATGAAGTCAGGGAAATTATCGTGAGTCCAAAAAAGATAAATCTCCTTTTTTAGCGTCCAGATCGGAACGAGAAAAATTCATTTTCGTTCCGATATTAATGAATATTTTATGACAAGGAAATTTGACTTGGCGTCTCTGAAGTCCATTCTTCTGAGTGATGTCATTTTTTTTCGCACGACAGTTGGTGATTATTAATTCTTTCTCCGTTAGAGTCAAACAAGTTACGACCCTGGCGGATCTCGAAATCGGAATGTACGCTGAATTCGTTGTACATTCGTTACACATTGGTTAAACATTTAGTTGGAGTCAAAATTGTGTAGAAACTGAGTGGAAACTGTGGAAAAGTGTAATTGAATTGAATAATAAAAGTATTTAGTGATAGATTTGTGCTGTATTTGTGATAAATTAACGTGTTATTATTAAATAAATAAAGTTTAAATTGTAAAATGTTCGCCTAAGTGAGTTTCACAGGCTAGGGAA